TTTGAGCAATACAAGCTGGCAGAGAACTCGTGCACCACTACGCTTGTAACACGACAAAACGAGGAAGCCAGTGCAGAGTGCGTGTGCGGCACCAGTAAATCGAGGAGAAAGGTGCTGCACCCATTGAACTGGTGCCGCCGGTGCAGCTAAATCGAAGAGACTTTTCGTGCCGTTGTCAGATAGGAAGGAGACGCGGCGCCGAAACGCTTTGTTCCAGAGTCACACTTAACTCATCAACCCATCATCATCCTACGTCTGTCCCGGCAGCACCTCTCCCCCCAGGGTTGTGTGGGGAGGACGATTTGTTTCGGGCAGACGGCCATGTCCTGGCAAGGGGGCCACCGTTCGGCGCCAGGCGCCAAACAGACGCGGCCTGCCTCCCGGCGTACAAGCCGGGGAGGCCCGACAAAGGGACTACCCTCCGGCGAAGCAACTTCAGTCGCAACGCGCAAAGCGAACGTACCCTGGCAGGGTGGGCTATCGCAGCGCGTAGGGTGCACTGCGGTCATGGCCCGTCTTCTGACCGCTAGGGCCCAGCGAGACTTGACACAGGAGCTACCCTTCGGCACGGTAGCTCTCGCCACCACACGAAAGCGGACGTACCCAAAAACGTGGCAGCGGGACTGCCCTCGGTCGCGGTAACTTCAGTCACCACAACCAAAGTGCCCGTGCCCTCACACTGTCGCGCGGCTGAGAGCCTGCGACGACACTCCCTCAGGACGGATGGGCTATCGCTCGGCGCGAGGCGCTTTGCGGTCACGGCCCGTCTCCTCACCACAAGGGCGCAGTGAGACACAATCCGTCCTCTGGGGTCTACAGGACTACTGTTTGGTGCAGAGGCCAGTGCCGCTGCACGCAAACCAAACGTACCCACGGAAACCGGCACGGCTGAAAGCCGGCTTAGTCCTTCTCGAGGAAGGGAGCCACCTTCCGCCTCGACGAGTAGAGTTGCCGAGCCTGCAGAAGGGGCCAACACGGACCTTGCGGGTAAAGCCCGACAAGGTGACAGGATCACCTTAGCACATGCAAAGCTCGGGTGAAAGACCATACAGACCAAACTCGGGGGCGACTGGCTCACTAGGCCTAGTCGTGGAGCCTTAGAGAAAGCCATCATTAAAAGTTGATGGTTATCTGCCCTCCTGCCTCACTGAAAATCACTGTCGGACGGTGCCACATCTCATAAAACTTCTTTGCACCTAGGCGCTGCCACTCTCGGTGGAGAACGAACCAGACCTCCTTCCGTACTTTTGCAAGCGCTTCGTGAAGCCCGGGTCGCTTGCCGTCAAAAATGGCACAGCACCGTGCCACCCACACTTGGTAGGAGCACTCAACAAGCAGAAGCACGTATTGCTTAGCCGCTTGTCGCGACAGGGGATGAAGAAAACGAACGGTGTTGAAAGGAACACCTGGGTGGCCAAACAAGCTAGCTATCCTTCGATGGAGGGCAGCTGGTAGTGCGCACTGAGAGAACGCGTGAACCAGGTCCTCCATAGTGCCACAAAAAGGGCACGCTCCTCGTTGAGGAATTCTTGTGAAGGGCATGAACTTTAGAGGCAGGCGATCTCTGGCCAGGCGATACATAAATGTAGCACGCTTGGCGTCCAGGAAACTGGCTGTAATTAACCGCCAGTTAGGACTGTGCTGGGACAGGTCGTGTTCTCTATAGCGTTTGGGTAACTCCGGAGCGAGTCTATCGAAGGCCAAACAAGCTAGCTATCCTTCGATGGAGGGCAGCTGGTAGTGCGCACTGAGAGAACACGTGAACCAGGTCCTCCATAGTGCCACAAAAAGGGCACGCTCCTCGTTGAGCAATTCTTGTGAAGGGCCTGAACTTTAGAGGCAGGCGATCTCTGGCCAGGCGATACATAAATGTAGCACGCTTGGCGTCCAGGAAACTGGCTGTAATTAACCGCCAGTTAGGACTGTGCTGGGACAGGTCGTGTTCTCTATAGCGTTTGGGTAACTCCGGAGCGAGTCTATCGAAGGCCAAACAAGCTAGCTATCCTTCGATGGAGGGCAGCTGGTAGTGCGCACTGAGAGAACACGTGAACCAGGTCCTCCATAGTGCCACAAAAAGGGCACGCTCCTCGTTGAGCAATTCTTGTGAAGGGCCTGAACTTTAGAGGCAGGCGATCTCTGGCCAGGCGATACATAAATGTAGCACGCTTGGCGTCCAGGAAACTGGCTGTAATTAACCGCCAGTTAGGACTGTGCTGGGACAGGTCGTGTTCTCTATAGCGTTTGGGTAACTCCGGAGCGAGTCTATCGACTAACTCGCGGAGTTCGATCGAAACTAAACCTATCTCGGGGTCGACCTCTTGAAGACGGGCCAAAGTAGAAGCGGCCCCTGCATAGAAGGCAGAAGGCGTTCCCGCCCGAGGCACGGAATTCGAAAATGCCCCAGGCGAGAAAAACCTCAGCCTGGTGCTCAGGAAATACGACGCGAAGCTTCTAGTAAGGAGCATATCTGAATCAAGAGCTACCCGTGTCTATTTAACATGTAATGCCGTGGTCACAACGCTAAGGTCGGGAATACCTAGTCCTCCTTCGCCCCTACGCAACTTCAACACGGGGCGCGCCACAAAATGAGAGGCACGACTCCAAAAGAAATCGAAAACTTTTTTTCCAAAATAACTTTGGTGTGGGGTTTTACTGGCATAACCGAACCTATGTACGTAAGGAAAGTAAACAACAGTGATCGAATTATTATGGCCCCAGCTGTTAGCGGACAAGACAAGGTACCGAGTTCCTTAATCCTGTCTGTGAGCTTTTGCCTTGCTAACCGCCAGTTTTCGGTAGTCAGGCCATCTGGCTCGAAATGGAAACCTAATATACGTAGGCGCTTCTGTATGGGGAGGCCATGTACAGGACGTGGACTGGAGGGAGCGCAGTTCAGATACATGACTGCGCTCTTCGACTTATTTATCCTGGCACCGCTCGCCGCGCAGTACCCCTCCATAACGTCCAAGACGGTACAAACAGTTGCCTCGTCCGGGACGGCAATAGAGAGGTCATCTGCATAGGCAAACATTGCCACCGGGGGGGAACCTGGCGGAAGGGGAAATCTACCTATGCTGGTGTCTTTAGAAAGCCTCTGCAAGAGCGGCTCGAACGCGAGCACGTAGAGAGCGGGCGACAGTGGGTCGCCCTGTCTGACTCCACGGCACACGCCGAACGACTCCGAGACGCGATCTTGTATGACAACAGCAGAACTAGGACGAAAGTAGAGAGCCCTGACCATGCTGATGAACTTGGAACTGAAGCCCGCCTGCTTTAAAACTTTAAAGATGTACTTATGACTGATAATATCAAAAGCCTTTTCTTGATCAAAAGAACAAAGGATTCCACTTAGGTTGCGTGAGTTCGACCATTCTATAAGGTCCCTGATAGCAAAACCATGAAGTTGGCACGATCTACCTTGGACACAACACGCCTGGTACGGACCCAAAACAGTACTGAGCACTGGAGTGAGTCGAACGGACAGGCACTTAGCTATGAGCTTGTAGTCACAGTTTAGGAGGGTGATGTGCGCGCCGGCTAACGGAGGCCCGCGAACATGAAGGCTGCCTACAAAGCTATGCGACTTCGAGCACGTGTGATCTTCCTCCGTATTACAGTGAACTGTATCCGTGTTTTGCGACTACGAGCACGCGTCAATTTGTGGCCTGGCAACCACCTAGACTTGCACGTGAGACGGACAGGGCATCGTAAACGCACGTCAGGTGGCGCTGCTTTTTTACAGAAAAAACGTTTGAGTTACAATGAAAAGTTTTAGCGTCTTACATATAGGACACTAGGCATATATGGGTTAAAGTGAGAGCTTCAGATTGCATAAACTCTCTCCTTCATTATATTCTGAGTAGTGTGTCGATGCTGCTGACTTAAGGAGCTGGGATCTGCTTGAAAAGTATACATAGTATCTCGAATTTCACCACGTCATCAGCAATAGTTACCTTCCCAAAAGCTAAGGCAACAACGACATCATATTACCACAGAACACGTACCAGTTTGCAGAAACACGGGCACACAATACTGGAAAGATGCCCGCTGTACGTGGTCTGGCCAGCTGCTTAATTATGCATGACTGCAAATGTAAAGAATCGAGCAACACAATTATTATAAGGGCCCTCTTTACATATGCAACCAGCGCAGGTCGCGGGTTCAAATCCCGGCTGCGGCGGCTGCATTTCCGATGGAGGCGGAAATGTTGTAGGCCCGTGTGCTCAGATTTGGGTGCACGTTAAAGAACCCCAGGTGGTCAAAATTTCCGGAGCCCTCCACTACGGCGTCTCTCATAATCATATGGTGGTTTTGGAACGTTAAACCCCACATATCAATCAATTACATATGCAACCAGGGTAGTAATAAAAACTTTATTTTACTTTGAAATTTAAAGCAAGGATGAGTGGGCTGAGCAACTCAGAAAAGCTTCTAGGCTTGGTCGAGGTCCCAATTCTTGCTCGAACGTTGCCCTTCATATGTGTTCATTGCTGACAAGGATGGATTAATTTTGGGTTGCTTTAGCCTGCACATTCTGTGCGTGGGTGAGATGTGGCCGCTTCAACACGCTAATTCAACATTGCCGGATTATGCTTATGCGTCGAGTGGAATTCACTGAACTAAACGAAATACAGAACAAGCACCAAAGAATTTTCACAGCTTTCGCAGTTTTTTGTCTCTTCATTCCAACCCCTCCTTTCACCTTCAATAGGCCCACCTAATACCCGATTAATTTGCTTATCATTTATTTAGAATGAATTCAGTGATGGGAACAATCAAGATTTGCCAGTTTTTAACGTTGCGACGTTTATGGAGCATTGAATGGCGCATTTACAACCTACACAAATAAATGCACTTTGTTTAAAATACCTTCACGTTCGCTCACGAAGTCGTTCAACACCTTTTGTGTGGTTACAAATGGGTTTTCACACCTCTTCCTACACGAAAGTCGAAACCGAAACTAATTTGCGCCGCCAGAGGTGGCTACTCAAATGGTCAAACTATAATGGCTGCCATTGCATTAATTATGCGCACTGCCACGCTCAATCAACGCTGGTAGAACTTACAAGGCCGTGCGGTGATCTCGATTCGTCGCAAATCGGCCACGCACCGCGGGACAATTTCTAGGAGAGTTGCCACAGTTTCCAACTGCACTTGGCCCTCGAAAGGCTCTGCGCGGTCTGACACACGCGTGTCGGCTAAGTACAATGCACTCAATTGTATTATGAAAAATGTATGTGAACATTTACGCTAACGTCACAGACTATGCTTCAGAACCTTCGGTGCCTTCGGCGCCTGCACAGAACCAAAACTGAAGGTACGTCCCAAGAAATTTTCGCACCTACGCGCTTGCCTATCGCAGCCACACGCACCCAAGAGTCGCCATGTTGCTTTTTTGGTACCTGCCCCGAGTAAAAATGTGGTTGCGTTCACGCAAGTTATTTCATTTCGATTAGTATAGATTCCTGCTGAGATCTGTCAAAGCTGTGAAATAAAATTTTTTACCGTCTTAATCGTCACAACTGTACAGCCACGGGTAACGAAGATCTTACGAGCGTAAAATATTTTGCGGTGCCTAGTCGTCCGTCGTGCACCGTGGGTTTTCACATTTTATTGCGCGCCGCTGCTACTTTTCGCGTTTTCACGCGCTGTACGCGGCATTTTGCCAGCCGTGCGTATTCAGTGTGGGCTTTATTGAAGAAACCCGTCTTATCGATGTTGAGGGTGCCTTGTAGCAGTTGTGATCTGATAGTGCTGTGCTCGCGTTCGTGCGAGGCTTTTGGGCTGCAGGAGCGTCGCACCGACATTGTCAAGCGGGGGGGTTTTGTTGTCTACCGCGTTTGCTTTATCATTCGGACACCCACGAGCCTGCTGTGAAGTGCTGGTATAGCTAGCCACGACCTACCAGAACTGTACCAAGCAACGTAGAAGCGGTATCATTTTGATCGTGTCGTCGGTTGGTGCGAGCCTTGATCGCGCAATAAATCACTCGCGTTTCGTTCGAACACGAGTGCAACATTAGATTTCACCGCAACCACAAGCGTTGTCTGCATTATAACGAACATTTTCAGCATTCCTTGGGGAAAGCGAAAATGTGGGGTCACCTCCAAGGTGACTGCATTCAATGTCCATACTGGTCCTGCCAAGCAAGAACATTGTAGAAGCATGTAAAAGGTTATTGTAGTCTCGTTTTTGAAGCACCCTTAAGGCACTTAGGAATTGCGTATTTTATAAATTTTATTTTATCTATCCTCTGCAACCCAGTACCACAAACTTTTTAAAGCTTGTGTTAAAGAAGCTTTCACAAGCTTCTCTAACTTTAAGCATGTGGGAACGAAGGAAGGAGAATTTTAAGGACTCATTTTTTTTTGTCAAGCACAACACGAGAGAGAACTGACAGATGTGAGCATGTGTGTGGCTTACAGTTAATTCTTTGTATAACAGACCCGATCTAGAATTTACATTCAAGTATGTCATAACACTATTCGAATTGAGAATAGAATAGCGTATGCTCCACTACACTTTACAGGCAACCAAGATTTGCTCCACTACTATTGAGGTCTACAGTAAATAGTGTCTGCTATGTGTGTTGCCCACTTCATGTTTGATGCAATGGTAACTTCTGTGTGTCTATACTAAGAATGTAGTTACTTACTTACTGTGATTCTCTTCATTTTAGTAGGCACAGTTCAGTGAGCTATGCTTATGTGGTACAATCAAAGGTACCGTTTTAGTTCTTTTATGACGCTTGCCGAGAACTGCAACATTCGTAAATCTACTCCATGTTTATTTAACTTCATCTGGTCATGATGTGATTTTAATTTTGTGTAAGTTAGTTATCTGCAAATAATGTTGCTGTTTTAACAGGGAATTGTACAGTGACACCAATGCTGCAAATAAATAAACAATGGTCTGAGTCCTGACTCCTGTGTGATCTTTGACTTAACCAGACAGGTTTGAGATGTATTCTGTTGAGTACCGACAATGTGATCCACAAGGAAGGCTTTGCTTTAGTAAAGTCAATTACTGCTTTCTATTGTGGCTTTATGCTTGGTAGTGTGGTTGACTGAGGCAAGACCTGCTATGCCTGAAGTTCTGATAGGTCAGTGTCCATTATCCCTTGGACATGTACTGTGACATTATGCAAATGTCTCAGCTGAGGTGCTTGAGATAGCAGTAACGGCAGACAGTAAGCCGAGCTGCAGTGATAGGCTAATTATTTAGAATGTCTGAAACATTCACTTTGTGGAGAGATGATTTCATGCTAGGAAGAAAACAATGTGTAGCTGGCTCAATGTCATGACCACGAATTAGCTGTGTCAACTGCCGTCGCTGAATGATAACCCGTGTATTGAATGGTAAAATGTGTTGCTGCCAAATTGTAATTGTAAAATCAGTTTTAGACATGAAATAGTAATAAATGTGGTTGATCTACAGCTGTTTGTACTAAATTGTCTTACAAAATACGTAATTTCACTTTCTTATCACAGTGTTGGCTTTGCTTTCTGGTGCACCCTTTAGCTTTTCTCTGCAATGCACCATAGCTAACTAACCTCACCAAAACGAATTCTGCAGTGTTCTACAAAAAGTTGACATTTGCAAAACTTCTTTGTTCTTTAATATTCCTCCACATTGCGTAAATTGCCCTAGAACTTATTGTCAATTGTTTTTCTTACATTTGAAACTCTCGATAAATTTTCCAAGTTGCAATGTATTTTTATCTGAATCAAATTTGAACGTATAAACATGTCTAAGCCAATTCAATGAGAAAACTGTTTTGTCATGTTAGATGATCATTGCTATAATGAGATGAATGAAACTAAAAATTAAGTTTTTTTCGGGGTGCTGTATTTGAACACAGGCCCTTACAGCCTGAGCTGTAAGCACTGAACTACACTGTCTTTAACCGCTGGGTTATACTCCTGCACTTGCAGAATGTCGATATCCGTGAACCATATGCATGTGTGGCAGCAGCGGTGCAAAACAAATGCAAAAGTAAAACACTTTCTATGAAGGCTCTGTTGAAATATTTCATGGTAGTGGAATGAAAGCATTATCTGGGCGTAATATGTAAAGCAGAAACGAAAATGCTGCGCATTAGGAAAATTACAACTTGGCAAAAATTTGATGCTAACAAGCACTTCTGTGGTCCATGCATAGGATGCACCTTCTATGGGGCTGTTTCAGAAGCTGATGAATGCTAGAATAAAGGAATTCGAAAAAGCCATGCTGACGCTGCCCAAAAAAAATACGAAGTAGAGGAAGCTACAACATTCAACGAAACTTGATGTGTTCATTTAGACGGTGCCAAAGAAAATTTTGTGAAGCTCTACTTACTTTTCCAGAGCAGCAGTTTAGTGCTTGAGCTTAAGACCAGGACTAATTTTTCTGGCTAATGAATGCCGATATTCTTTTTGTAGTTTCATGGCTATTACAAGTAGGTGACCTTTCTTTTAGTCTCAATGTACAGTTCTAAAGGCAGAAGGTGGCAGGCAGTGATATGTGTTGAATGTATTGATGGTAGGAAAGTGCATACATAAAGCATGGAACGAAGGAAGGACACATACAGCAACCGCACGTGTCCCTTTTTGGTCCCGTGCTTTATGTTTCCACTGTTCCTACCATCATGATTTTCTAACTTGCCCAGCAAGTTTCACTACTGATATATCATGTACTACTCATTACAAGCGGGTTTGAATTGTGGAAGATGCAGCCCATTCGATTGTATTCTATCAAAGAAAGCAGCCTGAAGTTGATATTCCAACTCGTTTCTGATCTATGTAAGCTGAAATTGTAGTTCGTTGGGCAAAGAGTCAGTACATTTACATGCTACAATTGAAGGACTGTAACCCGGTACACCATCATCAGGAGTGTTACCACAACCACACTTTTGGTGGCACTGCCTTCGGGACAGGCTTATGTTACAGGCCTCTCTAAAACGCTTTAGAGGTCCAGTGTAGTAAAGCAATAGTTATGGTGCTCAGCCGGCCATGGCTGTCACATTTTGACGAAGGCGAAATGCAAGATGCCTGTGTACTGTGCGATGTCAGTGCACATGAAAGGACAACATGTGGCTGAAATTTTTGAAGCCCACCAATATCCTGGATGCCTTTCATAATCATAAAGAAGTATTTCACCAAGTTAGCAACTATGATTGATTACTTGGTCCCCTAGATAGGGTCAGTAGCAACCATGTTATCTTTTCGATGGAGGCGAAAATGTTGTAGGCCCGTGTGCGCAGATTTGGGTGCATGTTAAGGAATCCCAGGGGGTCGAAATTTCCCGAGACCTCCACTACGGCGTCTCTCACTATGGTGAGTTTGGGATATTAAACCCCACATATCAGTCAGCAACCATGTCATCTTTTACACCAATAAAGGTTATTTCTTCATTCTCTGAGATCAGCCCAGTTTACTCGTAGGACAGCTAGTTGATATGTCAAACTCTAGGGAGGAAAAAAAAAAGCACTGCTCAAAAATGTCGAATGTGTTAGCTATATTTTCTTCATATTTAGGAATTTCGACTTGTTGAGATGATTGGCTCGAACAACTGAAGCCCCCTCTCTTTTTTTTTTTCATGAACTACATAATGCTCTTTTTTCCCTTTCACTTGTAATTCCTTAAACAAATGTTGGCAAAGCTCTTAAGTGCTGGCAATATTATTATCGCTTGTAACGTTTTCTTCATTCTTTAAAAGCTGGATACTGTCACCAAATGGACCTCTATGTTATTTTACATTACAAGTTCGAATATTGTCGAAGTCGTGCCAGTTTGGGAAATGTTCAGTTATTCAGCATCAATATGTGACTGTTGTACACACATTGTTCAAATGGAAAGAGATAAAGTAATGTACAAGACTTCACCTATTATAATGTTCCTGTGTGTTCAGTTGTCTGTTTCTATGTTCCTGTGCATATTCTTTATTTTCTTCATGTTTTGGGTATGTTCTTGATCAATTGTAGGAACTGTCACTATGCCGTGTAATGTCTTCAGCATGTTTTTCTGATTCATTTATATTTTTTTATGCAGAGCAGTTTTGCGATAGCATTCATTTGTGACTGAAAACTTCTGCTGTACATTAACCCCTGCCACGTTCTGTTCTTGATCCTAGAGTGCAACGTGTGTGGAGAAGGCCATCTGACTGAAGCGTGCCCCCTCTTGGGGCTGGCCCAAAAAGTTGATGACAAGTCAGTGCCGTCGCGGGCACGCTTGTCGCTTCCACCGACATTGGCCTTGGCCGAAAATGAAGAGTGTGGTCCTCGCATCACAGCCCGTGAGGACATTGCTGTGGGTACCCAGTTTGGGCCTGTTGAGGCGCCCCGATATCGTGCCTTCAAAGGGACGCCACGCTTTAAGCTCAAGGTAAAACCGCACTTCACTCAAATCGCTCTGCGTAAAAATCTCACTAAACAAGAATGAATGCGCAAGACAGACTTTTTTCTTTGCCATGTCGAGATTTCTGCTAATTTTTTAGAACAGCTGTGTTTACCTGCCTTTCAAAATTGCCACACTTGAGACCATTTTAATAGTTAGCTGTAACTATGAAGGCACTGGAACATTATAGCTGTGAAGACTATGGATTACAGCACAAGATGTTGACGAAGCATTGACAGTGCATGTGTGTAGCATTTCTTGTGCATAGCAAAATTCTGCACCAACATTACTGCAACATTACTGCCACTCACGCTCCTGTCTGTGTCTGGCCATAATTTGTGCACGTAGTCTTGTTTTCTAGGTTCACTGCTCAAGCGGACTCGGTGGCGAACTGGTAGCGCGTCCGACTCCAGGTTCACTGCTTTAACTTATTCACAAGCTTGTGCACTCAAAAAATGCAAAATGTTTCTCTTCAACTGTTATATTGTTTTTGTTGGCGACAGCAGTTCACACTTGAGGGGCAACAATTAAAATTCAAAATAGCGATGTACGATAACTCTGATGAGAGTCATGTGGATTCAGTGTTTCGATGATGTCGGTAAAATACATGACAATAAGTAGCATTCATGAGAAAGTGCACACTGTGCTAAACAAAAGCGGTACTTTCAAATTAAATTTGAATCTGAAACACGTGAGGCAACAAAAACGAGGTATGTACTGTCGAACCGCTTTATAAGAGGCACTGCTTCAAGAGAGAAATGGGTACAAGAGACGCCAGTGTGGCTACACTGAAACGGGGGTGGATAGGAAAATAAGTGATACCCTGCTTATAAGCAGCACCACATAAAAAAGATAAGAGTTGTTCTCCGGTGCATGTCCGTATAATGGGGTTCAACTGTAGTTAAAATATGTTTGCCAGAATGTTGCTAGCCTAGACAAAATGAATACTTGAAGCTGAATATCATATAAATACTACTGCCATCAATATTTTTCCATGAAGCTTTGCTGACAAGGGGTACAGAAAGTATACAGGGAGATTTTGCCACATCTCTTGGTAAACATTTTCTGGTAGGGTTGAGGGGGGACGGGACAGAATTTAAAGTCACATTCCATGCGCCTCAATGTGCCAAGAGAGCAACAGATTTACCAGACTGGATACATGCACGCTTTGCAGTTTGCGTGATGCAGAAGACCATGATCCGTAGCGTGATTGTGCAAATGTCAAGTAAATATTAATGTTTGGCTTCACAAAGATTTCATATTTGTTTAAGGGGAGATGCAGTCTGAAAAAAAAAAAAAGAAAGAAAAGTTGTGTTATTATGTAAGCTAGGTGAATGAAATTTTTGCTGTATACATAGTCTTTTATTAGTTTTTTAGTAACTTTTACAGTTTTCGTTTTATGCCATGACAATCTTAATGTATAGTTTATTTTAGACAAACTTCTTTTGCCACTAACCTTTTCTAGTTCTGAACCATGAATGGCACATGTTGCTTTACATTAACTGTGGAATGCAAATAAGTATAAAAAAGTGCTTATAAGACAGTTTAACGTAAATAAAAATTGTGATTTGAGAATTCTTAGAATCCTCAGCTCATACTAATTGCTTACTTTGGGTTTGTAATAATTATACAGGTGATATCAAGTTTTAAAGGAGATACTTGCACTCTTCACATGTTAAGGAATGTGTGGGTGAAATTTCATCCCAACCGGGCTATCAGAAGTACCAAAAACCTTATGTCTAAACTCAAAAAAATGCCCGAAAATGTATCTTAAGAAAAACACATTTTAAAGGTATAAGACATGTTTTTTAAAATATGCTTTTAAAGATAATTTCTATCATCATAAGAGTTTGGCAATCACGATTATTTTAATCACATAGCTTTAGTGAACTCCTCATGCTAAATGCAATGGCAAGCAGCCAGATGACAATTTCTAGGGGACTCTAGACAATGAGCTCTTTACTTTTTAGTAGCCACCTTATGCCCTTTGAAAGTGATTTTAACATACTTCGAGTTTAATTACAATCTTAAGTGTTTTTTGTCATGAAAGTAGAGAAACTAAACTTGTGAAAGCAAATAAAAACGAAAGATATGTAACTTTGAAGAAAGCTTTCATTTTTTTTACTTGCATCTTCCTTAAATGAGTGAAAAAAGTATGAAAGGCGACGATTCCCACAATTCATATTTCATCCTGCAGGTGTTTCCAACCAAGGGTCGCCCCACTTGCCTCGACACATCCGATGAGTATCAGTGTAACTGGATGTGCTTTGTGGAGCCTGCATCGGAGCCATCGACGCAGAATCTCATTGCTTACCAATTAGGTCAAGACGTCTACTTCAGCGTGCAGAAGCCGATCAAGTGTGGTGATACACTGTATGTCGGCTATGCACCACCATACGGACGCAAGATGGGCAAGTACCTAGTTTTTCATCACTATTGTTGTCATTCTATGTGTTACAGACAAGTGTGTTCGTGTAAGACTTCAGGTGACCTGAAAGGCTGTACATCTGTTCATGCACTGATGCGCGACTCCCGTTAAGACATTTGCAAAGATGACATCTCTCACAATATGGGGTCTAGTGAAAAGAAGCCCGTAAATTAACTTCCCTCGGTGTGTACTTTTAAGAGCTTCATTCATGTATTCAGTACCTCTTGAGAATAAGCATCTATAAATAGGTAAAGTTCTTAGTTTTCTCATCAAGCCTAATCATTTCTGGTTTTTTCATCCAAAACTAGTTTTGAAGAAGTCACCATAAGCATCCCTTCTGCCTGAGGCTGAGATTTCCCGTAAAGGGCAATGAAAACTGCGAAGCCCAATACTCCTTTGCTAAAACTGTTTGTAGGGGGCAAACTTTATAAATTATTCTGTACATAATATTAGGGTAGGCAGCCAGACAAGGTCAAAAAACACCCATGAGATAAAGCTTAATAAGGGATTGTACGTACAGAGGCCCCATCTTGTCCTTGTGCCACCATCTAGGTACATTGAAAAGAAATGAGGGATTCTTGCTGAATTTTTAGCTGGGCCTCTAGCATGTCTGCATTAAGAATAGTAATAAATGAAATACTCTACAAGACAACATTCATCAAGGAAGACATCCTTTGCAAGACTCCTCCAACACCATTCTTTCCCTACTTCCACATGCACAGTGCTCAATCTTAGAAACAGCACAACACATATCTTTTTCTGATGCAAGCGATAGTGAGGTTTGTCATTTCCCTCTACCTTAATATGGCAAATAAGCTCTGTGGAAGTTCGTGAGCTCAAAGAATTCATGCGCAATGGAAATGTTGCTTGTCGCCTGTTTGTAGCATAATATTACAAGGAAGGTTCATAGGACTATCTCAGAGAGCCAGTTTTGTAGCTGATGAAAAATTCGTCCTAGTCTGAAATATGAACCCAAAAACACATTTCCCACATGGAAAGGCATCGGTTATAACAGTGTTCTAATTAATGGGCTTGTGACATATTGCGACAAAAAAATGACAGCTCGTGCAGGACAAAGGAATGCCACTTGGGCAGTTACCAGGCCTTTCACAATATTGGTGTGGTTATTCAACCTTTAGTGTCAAATCAGGCATCACACCCTAACTATGCATCATGAGAAGAGACAGACAAGAATGGACTGTGCCTTTCAAAAAAATGCAGCTGGACCCCCTGAAGAACCTCAGGCAGCAACCGCGCCGAATGTACCCGCTCAGCCAGGTGGTCTACCGGCTAAAAGGAAAAGGGGGCGGCCCCCGAGAAGTGCCTCACTAACACGCCCCACAAAAGTCACCATCATACCTCAGGTAAGTAGTCAGTGAGAAATGTTGTGTATCTCTCGCATTCTCGTCATAAGGGCAATTGTCTCTTACATGGATAGGGCAGACGCCAGGTCACGTGGACACTGCCTCACTGAGATTTTTTGCCCTCCGAGCCAGGCAGGCATCGGGGTTTTTCCTTTGGGAGGGCCAGTTATGATGTAGAGAGGTCTTTGGTGGAGCAGCAGGGGCACCCTTTGAAGGAACTAGCATGAGGTCAGCTCTCTGATGCCTCGAGGAGGTGATATGGGGAGGGGGAAGGTATGTCAAAATTTGAGGGAGCTCTGAAGCAGGTTTTTTAGGCATTATCTTCAAGTGAACTCACAATGGCCAGAGAGCAAGAAGCCTGTAATGCAGCAGTTTGTCCAATGATGCAGCTATATCATAAATGCTAGGTTCAAGGTACCAATGTCGCTGAGGTCTAAAAGCAAGTCGCTGACATTCTTATAATTCTCTTCAAAACTTAATTTGTCAGCTGTGCCCCACCACTAACATAATTCTTGCCCCACCACTATATTCATTTCTTTTTTTTGTGTCTGTATAACTTAATTGTGTTCAGTGTGTTCTCATATGTGTTCTATTCATTGCATTGCTCATTTTATGCTGCACCGCGTGTTGTTCTAGTTCTTTTTTTTTTATGCAATAGTCCGTGCTGTTTTTGTTCGTCACATCGGGGAACGGAGCACTGTTGAGCCGCAATTGAGCAGTTTGTTACCCTTCTCCTCGGTTGCGCACTTATGTTGCATGTCTGGAATAAATACTCAGACTTGGACATGATAATCAGGAACAAACCGTAGCATTGGTATCGTGTGATCTTTTGCTATGGAAGAATGCTAGTGTTACAGTGAAGGACCTTCTAACAGAAGAGCTAGCTTTAATTTGTTCTCTTTTTTTTGCCCTCTCACCCTTGCACAAATCACTGCCCAGACTGATCCTGGACAAGCTGTCTTGACCGGAGACTCGCCAGCAGATAGCACGGTCAGCCTGAAAGCCGCCTCGAGCGTGGTCTCCTCGCACGATCGCCAGCAATGGACTTGCTCGCAGTGTGGACGTCTGTACAAAGACAGTGTGCTGTTTGCACGGCATCTACAGGACCATTACCGGCCAGCTTACCTGCGAGAACTCATGAGTCGGCGCCGCGAGGGAGGCCGGCCCATTGCCACACGGGGTCGTGGAAGGCCAAGGTCACAGCCGTTGGCACTGCAGAACAGCCAAGCCATGGTGATGGCAAGTTCTGGGAACAGTTCGGACGCAGTAACGATGGGTGAGATGCACGCACAAGTTCATTGCTTTCTAGATTAGACATGGTGGTATTGTTTGTACAGCCCGCCCTTGTGCGTTGACCTGCATTCTATGCTGCAGATAGAGAAAAATGGAAGAAAGGAATTGTGTATACATTCTGCAGATAAAAATAGTGTAATAATTATCAAATCTTTTATAATGAAACTTGGAGCTTGTTTAGAAAGAATTTTTTTGCATGTTCAGCCATAACGGTTTTCATTGTTTCTCTCTGAAGAAGTGAAATTGAAACAGCAGTTCGAATGTTTTCATCCTCTTGTAGCTCTGTGTCTTCAATTGTACACACAAGTACCTTAAAACCTCAAGAACAATATTGAGTGCATGTAAACTATAATGACTATATCTTAAAGGACTTGCATTTAATACTTATAAACTTCAGCTAGGTGAAAATTTTAATTTTGGGTGTAGCTTCAGGGAGTTTATGGCTTTTTCTGTGAACCTTGCAGAGGCACATGTAAGCTTTCACATCAACATGACCTTGCTGTTTCTACACTTTGTATTTCACACTTAGAAGCAACTTGCGAAGATGCCAATGGAGCCCTCTTGATCCAAGATGATGCAGCGAGCCATATGACAAACCAGAACGGAGCCATGACTGATGACCAAAACTCCAAGAAGAAATGCACTTTAAGAGATGGAGCCCACCGGCAAGTTCTCATCCAGCTTCAGGATGGCTCCATTCATGAGATATTGGTAACATTCTCAAAGCGAAGCTTTGTTTCTGAGCATTTGATCTTCTAGAGAAGCTCAGCTTGTAAACAAAATTTGGCTAAGAGGTGGCTAAGAGGTACAGATCACTTATGACTCCCATTCGTGGTGCTTAAATATTACAAACAAATACGACTGGCTTCGTCAGAGAAAAACACAAGTGGAACTTGGGTAAGCTCTTGAGATAACCTTGCACATTGCAATCTTGTACGTGCATGTGTTTTTTAATTCATAGCACATGTGCCTAAAAAATGAAATGAAAATCATTGTTTGTTATGTGCTCAGAGGACTTACTTGAGCATATGTACAGTAGACTATGTTTAAAATAGAGCCCGGAGGTACCAGAAAAATGTGTTCCATTTAACAGGAGTTTCACTTACTGATTGAACAGAGGTGTGAAATTCAAGTACAAAACAAATCGTATCAGAGGTATAGTCATTCAGTTTAAACAAGTCTGTTTACAATGAAAGAATCAGTAAACAGGGCTTGTGTCGAGCTGACGTGTCGACAACGGGACTTGTCTTCCTCAAGGCTAGAACTGAACTGATTTCTTCAGCGCTAGCGTGTTTACATTTCATACCCTCTCCTCCATCCTAACAAAGGATTGTGTGAGTGAAGAGGGAACGGGTGTTTCGTAAATAAAAAGAAAAGAAGGAAGTGGAGGGGAGGTGAAGATGCACTCCCTTTTCTGCCATTTTTTTACATCTGTTTACGAGATTTCCATGTAGCGAGAGTGTTCAGTATTTATATTAGTATAGTATATGTATAAATGAGCTTTTGAAAGATACCTCCTCTACACTGCCACAAGTATATGGTTCATCCAAAATTTTTTTTTTTATGGCAGCATGCTTAGAAAATGCACTGTAGGATTGAGTTATGTCCTTCCATCAATCTTATAAGTGGTGTTCAGATAGAGCAATAACTCACAGCTCTTGGAAGGCTAGTACACTTGCAGTTACCACAAGCCACCTCCACTTCCTGTTGTTCTTTCTACGGGAACAGCAAACATGATAATGAGCAGCTCTCAAAGAAAGGCCTATTATGCCAATAGAGTTAAAGAGCTTGTTTCACAGAAATTCTGGTGTCGATGTTAATTAGTGTCGAATGTCAGTTAAGGTTGCCATTTGAAAGAAGGCCTTTCCCAGATCTAAAATATGGGTAAATTTAGAAGGGAATCAGGCGTCAGCACTTGAAAAACATATAGATATCAGTATTTTAGAATGACTAAAATCTCAACGCCTGTTCTGAAACAGTTTTTGTTACATGGTTATGTTTTGGCACGTAGTGAACGCATGGGGTGCCTCACGAAAAATATCAGATGAGGGCAGTTGTGTGAGCCAGGCTGCTAGCGTAAGGTCTGTATGACCCCTGGCCTAGCCTCACATGTGACCAGAAGATTTCAAACCCTTACATAAACAAAAAAAATTATCAATATAATTATTATTGCCTATATTCTATCAAAGTTTCAGTGAAGAGGGCTGTTCTGGCTCGAGCAAATATATCGTTTCTTACTACTTATACATTTAGTTGTCACGCTTGAATTGCAGTGTTTGGTGTTCATTTTGCAGTCCTTCGATGGAAGTCTCAACTTACCAGCTACTGCAACCACTGTTGAGGGGCCGCAGACAGGGGAAGACATCCAACTGGTTGAAGACAGCTCCTGTGCAGCTGCTCCGACAACTGCTACGACTGTGACAACCCTTGATCAGCTGTCCCTGCAACAGTTCCCACCAGAGGCAGTTGTGGCTGTAGGGAGTGGTCAGGCCGCTGTTCAGCAGCAGCAGCCAGCTGTGATCAGACGCGGCAGAAAGCCGAAAGCAAGTGGGACAACCGCTCGTGAGCCAGATGTCACACCAACGCGAAGGTTCGAAGAAGTAGAACGCCAGTCTGCGGGCAAGTACAACCTGAGAACGATGCGCAAGGCCCTTGTCGTCGATGATGAGGTGAGGCTTCCTTGAAAAGAAAAAGTGCGGAGAGTGTGTGCACCAGAAAATAAAATGGCCGTATTCTGTGTTGCACCATTAGTTGCAAACTGCATCAACTTGTTGCTTCCTTATGTTTTTCTACCAGACTTCACGAGTTCTTGTGAAAGAACAGTGCGAGACTGTGGTGTATAGTCTCGAGCTGACTGTTTATCCATCTCTTTCTCCTTCTTCTTTTTTCTCTATCTTTTTCCTTTCTATTATTTCCTCTTTCTCCCACCTTAATTGTTAGCGTAGCCAAACGAGCCATGCTTGGTTAACCTCCCTGCCTTTCCTCTCCCTTTCTCCCTATCTTTCCTTTGATGCAACATAGTGTCGGAGAACAGCAGTATGGTGAATTGTTGAATTCATTATTCTTACAATGCACAAAATATATAATGCATAAGACACTGTCCAGACTATTTATTGTGCAAGTACTCATCAGCTTTATCCAATGCAGGCTGATGACAAGGACTCTGATTATGAAGGGGACGACTACTCAGACTTTGAAAGTGGTTATGATGGCAAGTATGCCTCAAGCTTTGAGTCAGATTCCCACCTTCCCAGTGGCCAGGCTGTGGCAAATGACTCCACAGGCAAGTATCAGAATGGTCTTTACTGGCGTTGATGTAGTTGTAACAAATCCTCACTTCCTTTTTTATAGGGCCCTGAAGCACTTTTTCATCATGGTCATAAAACCCATTTTCTTGGTAGTCGAGGCTCCTGAAGTCATGCGAGCTAAGCATTATAGTGCATAACATGGCCTAGAATTTACAATTACTTCTCCAGGTCAGCTAAAAATCGCTTCATCATCTACAAATGACCTAAACCCGAATGACCAAGCCATAAACCAAAATTTCGTGACCATTGGTTAATTTCAGCATTGGGAACTGGATAAATACTACAGCTGCCACAACGTGCCCACACGTTGGCTTCACAATTGTAATCACAATGAAAGTAGGGTGCCCCCTCCCCCCAAAAATAGAAAAGGAATTGCACATAAATGGACACAGCTTCTTGCCCCCCCCCCCCCCCTCCCCGTCCTGTCATCCATGTAGCTTCCGGTGCGCTCGCTGGTACGAAAGGAGAAAGATAGTGGTGAAACGAATTTGTGCAAACCCGCTTGTACTTGACAGATTCTAAAATTTTTTGCGGCAGTCAACTTATGGGGCAATAGAGTTGCTTACCGAAGCTACTCGATGATTACTTGAACAAGTGTTGCGGGGTCCCTTTAAAGCCACACCACTGTGTGTGTAGGTGCATGTTCTGAGAACATTGTTGCTCGCCGTACTCGTAGTTTAACACGTAAGGTGTCACATTGCTAAGCTCAAGGAAACGGTTTGATTCCTGGCCATGATGGTCACATTTTGATGGGAAAAAATGTAAGATATCTGTACACATTAAAGAAGCCCAGACAGTCAGAATTGACCCGTAGTTCCATACTATGACATTCCTCACAATCATTTTGTGATTTTGTTGTGTAAAACGTCAAAATTACTGCTGCAAGGGCCTCAGTGTGAAGATATAAAGTGTTCTGGAAGTTCTTGATGTTCTTCTGAAGCATACAAATTTTACTTGATATACTTCATTTTTAGATCCCTGCATTGCAACAACGGCCCAAGGACAGCCTGCATACCCCAAAAGTCAAGCTCTGGCCAGTGGTGTTCCTAAGGCGCTGCATGTAGCTGTCGAGATGCTGACCTCATTGCCTTGCCAGTCTAGCGACCAACCAATGGACATAAGTGATGGGGGCCCAGTTCAGCCTTCTGACGCTATGCAGAATAAAAGGCCACAGGCAAGAACTGGAGGACCATTTCAGTGCTGGCTTTTCTGTGAAATTACTCTTTCTTAGAGGCAGTAAAGTGGCAAAACTTATTAAAAGTTAAAGCTCCTGAGCTGACATTTTTATGGAACATGCTAATCCAAAATATTTCAATGAGTCAAAGAGTGATGAAACAAAATGAAAACAAAAGAACTGTTAACCATGCCACATACAAACTGTCACGTGCTTTTAATTGGACATGTAAACATCCTTAAGCCACAGACTAACAGCAGTGGAAACAAAAGAAGTTATTTGATGCTGTTGACAGTTATAATTTTTCAACCACGTAAGCTAGACATGTCTTATCATATATGATATGCTGTACTTGAGTAAATACGGCAAGCCCTAAAGCAAGTAAAGTGTTGTCTTTTTTACGTTTACCCTTTTTACTTTTATGTAGTCTTGGCTCATTAATGTGTTGATCTGAAGCATTGCAAACTGAGCCAACCCATGGCTCAGTTTAAGCAAATTGCAAACATTATCACTAGCGTGAGATACATATAATCATATAATTTTTGCTTCGAATGCACGTTTTAAGTTGCTGCAATATTTAATGCAGGATTTGACGGTCGTGGTTGCTGAAAGCCTAGGAACATCGCCTGAGGGAATAGTCGTAGAGCCTGTGAATGCATATGCAACTGAAAGTGCTGAGGTACAAAAGGTAAGCTATATTTCACGAAATAAAGTCACACCCGTGCATTGTCCCAATAATTTAAGGCCAATGAAATCAGCATTTTTTAATTGTATCCACTTTGTTTGTGATCTGTGAAAGATAACGGCAGGGAAAATAATGTCTGCTGCTTCGCCTACGAGCACAACATCGTGCTTCTAATTATGGCATCTTGCGGCATAGTAAATACTATAATAATTATGCGCTTTATATCGTCTGTACATTTTTATGTGCAACTCAATGGGTCTGTTCGATGTGGTGGCAGTTAGAGATGCGTAGCAGTTCAAGTAGGGACAACATGGGTCAAGTGAAGGAAACATAAGATGCGCATCATGTGCAGGAAGGTGGCGAGGTGGTGGAAAAGTTCTACAGGAATGTGGAACAGGTTCGACTCGACCGGCCCAAGAGGCCAGGCCGTTTCTCGTGTGACCTGTGCGGCAAGGGCTTCAATCAGACGCTGTATCTGTTTCGTCACATCCGTAAACACACTGGCGAGTTCACCTGCCACCAGTGCAATAAGGTAAGTTATGTGTCTATTTGCTTTTGATTATAACAGTAGGTATCATAATGCCTGCTTCTCGAGTAGCACACAATTACATAACCTGCACATCATTCACCAAAAACTGATCGCAGGCATAAAGCTTCGAGCTTGATAATTGTTCTACTCTACATGAATTTTCAGTGGCTGTGGTTTTTCACAAGCTTTGCGAAAGAATTGTAGGCATAATAACAATAATAAAAAGGCCCCCTAATATTCTTAGGACATCACCTTTTCCTCTGCACACAAATATTTTAGTACTATTCAGGTTAACGGTTGCCTGACAAGCAAAGTATGAATTGCCCTTTGCCGAATGTATTGAACAAAGATAACTCACTGTAAAGCTATTAAATTCAATGTTGTGTCAGTGCCTTGAAAGGGGCACTGACACAACATCTTGCTGCTTCAAAAGCCTGTGGAATCAATTCTGTGAACAAGCGTTTATGATATCTATGATATCTACCAAATCATATAATATTGGAATGTAATCTTAATGAATATTGAAGCTTGCATGCACGATCAATTGCTATGTGCCATACCTCCCGACATTGGAATTGCTTGAGGTGAATGGAAGTTGCCTGCCACCTTCCAGTATGTCACTACTAGTAGTACAGCCAAGCTTCAAGGCAGTGCAGCTATTGATCATGAGGTAACCCTTTTGCTGTGCTTGTGCCATCATATTACAGTGAAAGCTCTTTAATTCGATTTCGGTTATTTTGAACTTGTCACACTGACGCTCCGGTCTCAACACAACCATGTGTACTGTATTTCTATAGGAGAGGACACCAGATAATTCGAGCATGTTGGTATTCACAATGGTATCCACAACTTGGAGCCCCCGGTTTTCATCGCTTCACACGGAAGTCGGCCCAGAGTGATCGAAGTATGCTGCAAAACCAGACGAAACAAAGTTTACTAGAGATGCACAACTACAAAAAGCAGCATTTCTCAGCAGATGAGATTTCAGATGCGCTGAAGCTCGTGGGCAAGCGGCAAACGATGCTCAAGGGGTCACGACGAAATAAACACGAGCAAATTAAAACTACTTGTTGTTGTTGAAATAACCTTATCATGGTCAAGAGAACATGTAGGAGAGGCCCTGATTACTTTTAGTCTTGATTGCATTAACTCTACCATGTAAATAAATGTGTTTTAGACCATAAATAGTGTCATATATTTTAACATTAAAGAGACAATAAAGTCAAAGAACAATTTATGTCAGAGTGAAAGCTCAATGTATGATGTCTATAACTACTATATTATCAACAGCAGCGCTCTATTTACCGAGAAATTAAGGCAAATGCACAAGAACACGTGTGGTACATGTGGAACATTCGTAAAATTACCCCGATGACGTGAGAGGTGCCGCCTACAATTAATGACTAGTTAATCAGACTAGCTGCGCTAAATAAAGAACCTTCTATGCATCAAGAGACGTAATAAAATGCTTCTTGTTTGTTTCTGTTTGATTCATGGAAAAAAAGAACTGCCAGACATTATTATGGGGAATGGCGTGAGTGGTTCAGTTTTCGCCTGGTTAAACTGGGCAGGTTGTGCCATTTAGCAGGGCCCAGTTGAACCAAGCACGTCTGCCATCTCGGAGGCCATGTCAGGAAATTGTTCAATGGCCGTTGTTGCTTCTGTGACTCCCACTACTTTCGCTCTGCTGCTACTAGTGTCGGCGGCCGCGCAGTAAAGCCGGGCAACGTTGTGCACGGCAACAGTGACGTGAAAGTTTTTACTTGAGGCGGGTAATTTGATGTAGGCTAACGTAGTGTGGACTATTAAAATGTGGCTTTATTTAAAAATAAGCACTTCTTTGTCACAAAAGTAGCACTACGAGGTTTCTGGACTGCTACTTCAGCAATCCACATCGACTTAATATTTGCCTTTAGCGTCCCTTTAAGGGGAGATGCGATAAGAAAAAAAAGCTGCGTTAATCTGTAGCCCAGGGCAATGAATTTTGCTTTCGTGCTGACTTCAAATATGTAATTAGTTTTATAATGAGTTGCACAGTTTTTGTTTTGTGCCATGACAACGTGAAAAGTACGTACAGCTTTTTCTGGACAAACATTTTATGCTACTGTACTTTTATGGTTCTGAGCCATTAAGGCTCATATTGCTCCACATTAACAGTAGAATGAAATAAACATCAAGAAAGTGCATACAAAACATTTTAATGGACAAGAAAAATTAGAATGTGGTAATTCTTAGAATGCTCAGCCCATACTAATTGCTTACTTGAAGTTCATAGTAATTATACAGGCGATGTCAAGTTTGAAGAAGATACTTGCTCTCTTGACACGTTAAGGAATATGTGGGCGAAATTTCATCCAGATTGGGCTGTCGGAAGTACTAAAAACATGATGTCTAAACTCAAGAAGTTGCCCAAAAAATGAATCTTGAGATAAACACATTTTAAAGGTGCAAGTGAAAGATCTATGCACAAAAGATACAATGTTTAAGCTGATTTGTTCCATAACAAGAGCTTAGAAATCATGGTTATTTTGAGCATGTGGCTTGTGGCTTGCTCTGCCGGTCTCTAGGCAATAAGCTCTTTTTAGTTTTTGGTAGCCACCTTCCACTCTTAGAAATCAATATTAGCCTACTTTGCGTTTAATTACAATCTTAAGATTTGTCGTAAAAGTAGAGAAATGAAACTTGTGAAAGCAAATAAAAACAAAAAAATATGTAATTTTGGAAAAAAGAAAACTTCTATTTTTTTACTTGCATCTCCCCTTAAGTTTCACTGCTCTCATGAATGCATTCCAGTGTTTGTTTCTGGCATCCCACTGACTGATGAATTCATTCTGTTGGCTTTTAAAAGCTCCATGAACTTCATCAGCGAAATTACCTGCCACAAATGTGTAGTAGTGCCTAGTTCGCAATAACCAGTCCACAGGTGACTGTTTTGGGTTCTGCCTGCGCGGTGTGGCACAATGTTCGTACATTTTGATGCCTGCCAGCTAATTCAAACAATTTTATAGTCCCTCTTGAGTTCGAATTTACGAGCTTTTACTGTACTATTCAATGGCTGCTCGCAAGTCTGTGCCCGCAGTGAATATGTGGAAGGCGTTGGAAGCCTTCAGAAAATCGTTGTCACAAGGCAACGGTGATGATGACAACGGTGACAGCATCGCACAGCTTAGTGCAAAAATAGTGCGAGCGGACAATGTAGGTAGCATAGAAACGATAGAATATAAGAACACCGATCATGAAAACGAACATGAATGAAGATCGTTTCAGCTCCCCCGATGGGAGCGGTAAGCAGCGGGTCTGGATACACTGCCTGGAAATTCATCACAGTTCTGTGTACTCTCATTGTCAAATTCACCCATCAGCTGATCTCAGGTGGCATTAGTTGCACCTGAGAACTTTTTTGTTGTTTTTGGAGCACTTCCAAACTGGTCGGTAGTAAACTGTGTTATGTTAACAGTAATACTGTGTTATGACTAACAGGGCCCCAGCAAGTATACTACAACAGAAAAAGGAAACCGGACCAAACTTTTTACGTCAGCACCTTTTTAACTGCATAAACCACTGCCAGTCATGAAAAATTGTGTTTCTTGTTCATGTTCCAGGTGTTTGCACGCAAAGAAAATCTGCAGAGCCATGCCTGTTCTGAGCGATCGATAGACCGGTTGGAGTTGCCATGCACCATTTGTGGCAAGACTTTTGGCACAGACAGACTGCTTCGCCGGCACATGGCAAAGCACACAGGGCAACATATGTGCCCAGACTGTGGCAAGAGCTACACTACCAGGGTACGTGCGGAACAGAAAAATTGTGTGGGAGGTCGTGCTTATGTTACCTCAATCATCTCGGGTATATGCAGCGTAATAACTGTGATTACATTTACTGGTATTAGCCAGGTAATAGTAGTGTTTCTGTCAACTTGACCCTGGTGTCAGCTCACTACAAAGCGCCCCGCCACGGTGGTCTAGTGGCTAAAATACTCTGCTGCTGACCCGCAGGCCGCGGGATCAAATCCAGGCTGCGGCAGCTGCATTTTCGATGGAGGTGAGAATGCTGTTGGCCCGTGTGCGAGGGAGGTCAGCTCTAGTAGAGGGAGGTCAGCTCTATTGAAAATGAGAGCAGGGGCTAGCTATAGCTAACATATTATGTAGTAAATGATTCGGTATGTTAGTACAGCTATTTCTTGTGGCTTGAAGGCCAACAGCAATAAATATTGGTTGGGGAAAATTTTTTGTCTAAAATAAGTAATGCATGTACTTGTATTGAAGTAATGTTGGCACAGCTACAGGGATGAATGTTGCCTACTGTTTTTAAAAAGACAGCCTTTGAATAAAATCTAACCGATTGATGAAAACAGCTGGTATTTATCAAATGCTGCACAGATCACAGTACATATTTTCAAAGATCTTTTCTACGAAAAACTCTGGTTATACAACATGTCATCCTTGGGAATAGGTAGCCGTGGAACTCTGTCTTGAGCTTCACTTTCAAGTGTCCATCCTTGTGGAACAAGGTTTATTGGCAGAAGTAGCACTTGCACAGTAGGTCTATTGATGTGGAAAGGGGGCGGCAGCAACAGACTCGGGAATTACAGCAATCGGGGCAAACGCTCACGCTTGGCTCCTCCTGCTAAAGGCGTGACCCACTGCGGCACATATTCTTCTTCCTCTCTACAATACCCCGGCGACGAAGACGAGCCATCCTGGCAAGTCAAGGTGACGAGATTAGGAGTGGGTCGTGATATGGCTTGAGACGACTCACGTGGACAGTCTCACGACCAAGGCATCGCCTGTCTGTAGATGGCGTGATCGGCTCGATCACGTATGTGACAGGAGATCGACGTTCGACGACGCGATAAGGACCGTGAAACTTGGGGGCAAACTTAGCGGACAGACCTGGGGAGTGGAAGGGCAGTCGGAGCCAGACAAGCGAGCCCACGGCAAAAGTCTCGACTTGCTGGTCGCGGTCGTGGCGGTCTTTTTCGAATGCTTGCTTGTCCGAGGTGAATGATCGGGCCAACTGACGACACTCTTCAGCGTGGTGCAAAATTTCAGAAAGAGGGCTGAACTCTGAGACGTCGGGACGATACGGCAAAATGGTGTCAAGGGTAGAGCATGGCTCACGCCCATATAGAAGAAAGAAAGGCGAGAAGCCTGTGGTTGACTGCGTCGCGGTGTTGTACGCATAGGTCACAAATGGGAGAATGACATCCCAGTGTGATTGGTCGGAATTGACATACATGGCGAGCATGTCTCCTAGCGTTCGGTTGAAGCGCTCAGTTAGACCGTTGGTCTGCGGGTGGTAGGCTGTAGAGGTGCGGTGCACCGTGCGGCATGCCTGAAGGAGTTGTTGTACAACTTCGGATAAAAAGACACGCCCTCGATCACTTAGTAGTTCACGTGGTGCCCCGTGACGCAGTACGAAGCGTCGCAAGATGAAATTGGCTACGTCACGCGCACCTGCCGTAGGTAGTGGAGCTGTTTCAGCATACCTCGTCAGATGGTCGACGGCGACAATGATCCATCGATTTCCAGTGGCAGTGTAAGGAAGGGGACCATATAGATGGATACCAATGCGGTCGAAAGGGCGCGCCGGACACGGTAGAGGCTGTAATAATCCGGGTGAATGGGCAGCTGTCTTTCGTCGTTGGCATAATGAACAAGACCGAATGTATTTTCGTACAAAAGTGTACATACCACGCCAGTAGTAACGCTGGCGGATCCGCTGATATGTTTTTAACACACCAGCGTGAGCATGTTGTGGGTCGGCATGGAAATACGCACAGACATCAGATCGCATGTGGTGTGGTATAACCAAGAGCCATTTACGACCATCCGCGTGGTAGTTTCTGCGGTATAGTTGCGCGTCCCGTATCGCGAAATGTGTGGCTTGGCGGCGAAGAGCGCGTGGGTATGCAGACGTTGAAGAGTCGGAAAGAATGTTAAGGAGAGATGTTATTCATGGGTCTTTCCGCTGTTCAGACGACATGCTTGTGACGGAAATGGGAGCGATGGAGAAGTTGGTGTCCGAATGCAGGTCTGCGGTGGATCTCACTGGTGATCGTGAGAGGGCGTCCGCATCAGAGTGTTTTCGTCCTGAGCGGTAGACGACACGAGTGTCGAATTCTTGTAGGCGAAGAGCCCAACGTCCAAGGCGACCTGAAGGATCTTTTAGCGACGCCAACCAACAAAGTGCGTGGTGATCGGTCACAACGTCGAAACTCTGTCCGTACAAGTAAGGACGAAACTTGCTTAACGCCCAAACGATTGCGAGGCATTCTTTTTCAGTTACGGAGTAGTTCATCTCCGCTTTTGTGAGTGCGCGGCTTGCGTATGCGACGACGTACTCTGGAATACTGGGCTTTTGTTGCGCGAGTACTGCTCCCAGACCAACGCCACTGGCATCTGTGTGCACTTCAGTGGGGGCACTTGGGTCGTAATGGCGTAGAATTGGTGGGGACGTAAGTAGGCGGCGCAGTGTAAGGAAAGCTTCGTCGCATGCCGGGGTCCAGTTAGAAAGATTAGCTGGACCGTTCAGTAGTTGTGTAAGTGGGGCTATTATTGTTGCAAAGTTGTGGACGAAACGACGAAAATACGAGCACAAGCCGATGAAGCTCCTAAGTTCTTTGAGTGAAGTCGGCTTCGGAAAGTCGGCTACGGCTCGAAGTTTGTCTGGGTCGGGGCAAATTTCATTCTTTGACACAACGTGACCAAGTATAGTAAGTTGGCGAGTTCCAAAGCGGCACTTCTTTAGGTTAAGTTGGAGGTTTGCCTTGGTAAGACACTGAAGAATGGTGCGCAGACGGTCGACGTGGGTAGGGAAATCAGGCGAAAATACGATAACATCATCGAGGTAACATAAGCATATCTGCCATTTAAGGCCGCGTAAAATGCTGTCCATCATTCGCTCAAACGTTGCAGGTGCATTGCACAGACCGAATGGCATAACCATGAATTCGTATAGGCCATCCGGCGTAACGAACGCTGTTTTGGGACGGTCACACTCTGCCATCGGAACCTGCCAGTAACCTGAACGTAAGTCCAGCGAAGAAAAGAATTCGGCACCTTGTAGGCAATCGATAGCGTCGTCGATGCGGGGAAGAGGGTATACATCTTTCCGTGTAATTTTGTTCAGTCGCCGGTAGTCGACACAAAATCTAATCGAACCGTCTTTTTTCTTCACTAGCACAACAGGTGAAGACCAGGGCTAGAAGATGGTTTGATGACACCGCGCTGAAGCATATCATCCACCTGCTCTGCAATCACACTTCGTTCCTTGGGTGATACGCGGTAGGGGCGTTGCCGCAAAGGAGGGTGCGTTCCGGTGTAGATTGTATGAGCGACGGTGTTAGTTTGACTCAGTGCCTTTTGAGGAAGGTCAAATGAATCTCGGAATTCATGCAGAAGGGCTATTAGCTGGTCCCGTTGATCCGAAGGAAGCTTGCTGTCGATGGAACGATTGAAGATATCCGAGGAGTAGTCATCCCGCGTAAAAAGAGGAGTAACGGCGTTCAGTTGAAGTTGCTGGCCAGGGTCGTGGGACTCAATAGGCACAATAACGTTGTCATCAACAGGATGAACATAGCCCAGTGTTTCGTGAGCTCTTAAAGTGAGAGGGCATGAGCTAGGATTGCAAACGACAATTCCGGAAGTATCTTGATGAGGTGGCAGAACGGCGTATGGCAGAGACGTACCATGGCAGGCGACTGAAAACGTCAGATGGGGAGAACACAACGGTAGAGCCGGACAATTCAGTGCGATTGACGGGGACAACGATGACACTAAGAGGAGGAACATCAACGTCGGAAGCAACAAGAAGCTTGCCCAGGTGAGTGCGCTCATTGTCGGTAGATGGCGCATCTGAAAACACAGATAATTCTACCTGCGCGCGAGCGCAGTCAATTACGGCGTGGTGCCGTGACAGAAAATCCCATCCTAGTATCACGTCGTGGGCACAAGTGGTCAACACGAGAAACTCGATGTGGTACAGGACGTCCTGAATGATTACTCTCGCTGTACATGCTCCGACTGGTCGAATAGGTTGTGAGCTCGCGGTATTCAGCAATACGTCGGAAGGCGTCGTCGTTACTTTTCGTATCGAACGGCAGAGTTTTTGACTCATCACAGATACGGCGGCACCCGTGTCAACAAGCGCAAGAGTTCGTAGACCTTCAACAAACAGTTCCAGAACGTTTGTAGGGGACGGGCGAGGACTTCTACAATGCGACGATTTCGCAGCTCAAGCCTCCGGAGCTGCGGCAGTCAGTTTTCCGTCTCTGCGGGGTTCGGTCGGCGACGCAGCGGGGACGGAGAACGGTAGCGGCGTGGTGAGGATGAGCGACGGGGACCGAATGGTCGGTAGTCGGCAGCAGGGTGGTGGTCTATTTCGGATGGGGACGGGTCGCGTTGCACTGATTGTCGGTCGTATTGACGGGGCATTTCTCGTTGTGCGTTGTACGGGGCCGGGAAAGAGTCGTCAGAGTACCTCGGAGCTGCAGCCGGGCCCGTTGCGAAGCGCCGGCGACAAAAGCGTGCCACGTGACCTGGATATCCGCATGCATAACAGATTGGACGATTGTCAACTGTGCGCCAAGGGTTTCCGTGATAGCGCTGTTGTGTCGCTGGAACTGGCGTCGTTGGTACTCGTAGAGGCTGGGGAGTCGGCCGAAGTGGAGGTCGTGGTGGAGTAGCAGCAACAGCAGCGTAAGTCAATGGCGCGGTGACAGGTGTTGTCTGAGAGACGGGCGGCAGTGCCTCAGAGACCTGCGCCTGTATTACCTGTCTGATGGCGGGCGCAAGACGCTCAGAAGAGGGTTCCGTTGCCGGTTGATACGACAGACATGAAAGTTGTCGGGCCACCTCCTCGTGCACATATCGTATGATTTCCGACATGATTGTGTTGTTGTCTCCACCTAGGGTCAATGCCGCGAGAGTTTCGTCGGTAGTCGCTGGCCGCCGTGTCATGACCCGTTGCTTGCGCAATTCCTTGAAGCTCTGGCAAAGAGTGGCGAGTTCAGACACGGTACGGGGGCCCTTGGCCCGCAGCATCTGGAAGGCGTCGTTGTCTATCCCCTTCAAGATGTGTTTGATCTTGTCTGCCTCGATCATTGAAGGGTCAAGGCGCTTGCACAAGTCGAGCACATCCTCGATGTAGCTTGTGAAGCCTTCCCCCTGAAGCTGTGCGCGTCCCCGTAGGCGCTGTTCGGCACGGAGCTTGCGTACCTCGGGGCGACTGAACACATCGGTAATGCGCAGCTTAAAGGCACCCCAAGTGGCGAATTCCGAGTGGTGGTTGTTAAACCAGAGACTCGCCACCTCTTTCAGGTAGAAGGGTACATATTGAAGCTTCGAAGGGTCGTCCCACTTGTTGCTTGCGTCTACCTTTTCAAATGTCGACAGCCAATCTTCTACGTCTTGCTCATCGGTACCGTCGAAAAAAGGTAAATCGCGCACGCGTAGCGAAGTGGGCACGATGACCATCAGAGGCTGGGTCGTACCTTGCTGGGTGGTTTCTTCAGCCATTTCTGGGATGGCAGGTAGTTTCCTGTTGCGGAGTTCCAGGTTGAAGTACCCTGGCACCTCCACCACTCTGGAACGGGGTTTATTGGCAGAAGTAGCACTTGCACAGTAGGTCTATTGATGCGGAAAGCGGGCGGCAGCAACAGACTCAGGAATCACAGCAATCGGGGCAAACGCTCGCGCTTGGCTCCTCCTGCTAAAGGCGTGACCCACTGCGGCACATATTCTTCTTCCTCTCTACACTTGTGAAATTTTTATGATGCATTAACTCATTATTCATGGGTGAAAATAGGGTTTTTCTATATTTACCCTGTCTGAAAGTAAGCATTTTATGCATTTCAATATTTTGTCTGAGTTGGCCTTTGATTCTTTGTTTTTGGCGCACCACGTCTGTTATGATTAAAACATTTCCGTGCTATTTCGATTGAGCACAAGGCATAGCTAATAGCACACAAGGTACGAGCACCTTGTGTGCTACTAGCTATGCCTTGTGCTCACAGATATCGTGACACCCTGTGTGCAGGAGATCCTGGCGAACCATGCGTGTCCACAGCGGCCCAAAGTGGATAGGTTCAGCTGTGGTGTCTGTGGCAAAGGGTTCACGCGGCATGGCTACCTGCTGAAGCACCTGCCTGTGCACACAGGGCAACACACATGTCCCGTGTGTGGCAAGTGGCTGCGCTCGCTCGACTCTCTTGCCAACCACATGCGCATCTGCACCCAAGTACAGGAGATACAGCTCCACGGGCAGGCAGCCTGCTCACACTGCCAGAAGGTATTGTGTGTCTTTATCTACACAGCTACTAGGCAAATCATCGGTACAAATACATGTACTATAGTATTTGTAAAGAGTATGTTGACCGCTTGCTGGGACAACTGCTCACCGTCAAGTGGCACTAGTATGAGAAAGCTGGTGCTATCTCAATGTGTCACAACTTTGACACTGGCTCTTGCTGTTGCGGGTGTTTTGTTGGGGTAAGCCGACTGCCATAAAATGAGTGCCGTGCGCAAAATACAACTGTTCAGGCATGGTTGACTTGCATTGTGTTATGTTTCATCTTTCATCTTTCTCTCTATGCAAGTGACCATAGCTATGATTGAGTTGTGTGACAAGGTGTTTCTGTTGAGCCCTTAACATTAAGGAACTATTGAAGAAGACTTCAAGACTACTATAGCATTAATGAAAAGATGGTTGGTATCGTAATTAAACTCAATAAGAGATACAAGATGAAGGTAGTTCAGGCTTATGCGCCTACGTCCAGCCATGATGACACGTCAGTTGAAAGCTTCTATGAAGATGTGGAATCTGCAATGAGTAAGGTAAAAAGACAGTATACTATACTGATGGGAGACTTCAATGCAGAAGTAGGGAAGAAACAGGCTGGAGACCAGGGAGTAGGAGATTATGGCATCGGCATTAGAAATGCCAGAGGGGAGCTACTAGTAGAATTCGCAGAACGCAATAATTTACAGGATTTTGAATACCTTCTTTGAAAACCATAATATATATTTATGCATGCATTTCAATGTGTGCATGTATATACATATACACATAAAAAATTGAAAGAAATGTTTCGGGTGAACGCAGGGCCGAACCTTGTTACTCCCTCTATTGCTATGCCAGTGTCTGCAGCAAGTGTTATCATACCTCTAGCCGAGAAAGAGCAACTTTTTCGCTTGACTAGCCACAGTATCAGCTTGCGCCAGCGTAGAAACACTCGCACTACCTTTTACTCTGTAGTGCGTTAACATCGGAAACTTGATTTATCATTCAACAAAAGTATCGACCACACTTAAATTACTATTATGTTAAATCGACAAGTTCATAAAATCAAGAAAGGAATCTTCCGATGCTTTGAGATCCAAAATTGTAACACAGTGATAAGTGAGAACTCTTATGACACATCATTTACTACTAACACATGCCTGTGCATATGAAAAGTCTGCAGTGACAGGCCGGACATGGAGCCTCTCAAGTCCCGGTGATAAACGAGGTCGACTGTCGCATGAAGCTATGACAAGTTGCCGGTATGCTAAGATGAGCAGAGTGAATACAGTAATTGTATAGAAGGAGGAGCAAGAAAGTTGCGAAGGAGATAATCAATGCTGTCACTTGCATAAACCATTAAAAAATGAAAGCAACTATGTGTACCTGTGGGAGAATTACCTGGACAACAAACCGCTACTGATTCTAGTGCCATTTGGATACATAGAAGCCGTACTGAGACTTAATTTGATTGTCTCGTGCATAGGGCACTGCGTGCACCTTCGTTAGCATAAAACTTCAGTCATGGCTTGTACAACTAGATGTTTTAACACAATAGCGTTACAGCATATGGCTGGCGAAAAACCCACCTGTGGCAAACTTAGAACTAAATCGACTACATTTTTTACTGCGTATGCGCATGAAAACTTTGTTAAATCAGGTTTAGTGCCATGATAGCTTTTTTTATTCGAGTTGACAATGTCAAAGAACCCTATCGATACCTTCCCGGGTATGAAATTTCTTCATTAGAGAAGTAAATTCATAAAATCGGATTTCGTGTGATTGAATTTCAATGTATGCCGACTTAGCTGCGACAGTAATCACCAGGACAGCCTGGATGACAGAATATGTGAGAGCCACTAGGTAAAAACAACTCTAGAGAACGTTTTAGTTCATGTTTCCTTCATTCTAGGTAGTACAGGTGCCACAAGATGTAAATAGGACACAACATTTGAGTTCGTATATATTTTACACACTGCATTGTATATTGCAAGTCAAGTGCTCATATTTGCTGTAGGAGCATGGCTGTGCATATGAGATTTTTCTTCCTATTTTTCACTAACCCAAACAGGAATGTAGTTAAACCATAGTACAGTACTTATTCAACACATTATATTGCCTGCAGATACATGCTCGTTCATTCAGCTTCAGTAAACTCGGCTCTTTGGTTATGACGAATTCCTTTTTGTGCAGGTGTTCACCAATGCAGCTGAGTTTCGACGACACCAGTATGAGTACACACATGTGCACCAGTGTAAAGTGTGTGGGGGTCGCTTCCGCAACCCCACACTGCTTGCAGCGCATGTGTGTCAAGGGAAGCCAGTACTTTGCGAAGCCTGCGACGAAGTCTTTGACTCCGTCGCTGCCCGTGATCAGCATCAGGCTGTTACACACGGAGAACCACAGTTCAAGGTCTCAAGCCTATCTTACTTTTTAGTGTACCATTCGAATTATTTGCGAAAGAAGCTCTTTATAACTGTGACTAGGCAATAGAAAGGTCCTTTTTCTATGCCCAGATCATGCTGCCAGATATGCACTCTTTAGGTGAAGACACTCACGTTATACGATTGGTGAGATAAAATAATAACACTGCGTGCCATTTAATCTAATGATAGCAGCTGACATCTGGACGGGATGACACAACCTCAAGGCTGGCAAGCTACCAAGGTTCAAGCAAATGCCATGTTTTTCACGTCATTGCTGCTGACCGTGCCAGTTGCCTTAGCAATAGTACATAAAACATTTTCTCCCTTGCAGTTGCGTAATCCCACTGATAGATATCTGCTGCTGTCACCGGAAAAGTGGCTGCACACCCTTGTTATTTTACCTCATCAAACGCACCTCGCAAAAAACCTGGGAAGTGTCGCCATTTAAAGAGTAAATGTCCGACACTGGGACCCAGACTGTGTTCTTTCCAAACAATACTTGATCAGGTATTGTAGATACTACATCGCAACTTTGAGCACAGCATAATTGTACATGGTGAGTCAAGTCTGAAAAGCTGAGCTCATTTAGCTGCTGAACACAATTTATTTGTGTCGCATTGTTTCTTGTTCTGCTCACACATATGTTTTATAATGTGGTGACAGTTGCTACAACATTTAGTGTCCATCATATTTTTCAGTTTGCTGGCATTGTCATCAGATATTTGTGAGCAATAGCCTACGAAATTTGTACAAGTTTTCTTATTTCTTGCAGTATTCAAGGTGACATTGGTGGACACTGATGTGAATATCAGTATGGCCATAAGCATGCGCAGAGCTCCCCTTCAGGAGGTGGGGGAAAAGTCATCGCAGCACCGCCCCCCCCTCTTTATTATGTCAATACATGGGACATACTTTGTGCCCCCCCCCCTTCCGTTCTTAGGTGACAAGAAGGGGTGGCCGACTCCCTTGCCCCCTCCTCTTCCTCGTGCCCATGCCTGTGAGTGTGGCACCTGGAAATGGGTGTTACACATCAAGTCTTTGAGTAAAATGTATGACCTGTCACTAAGGTGTTATTTTGTTTCTTTGGTGTTCTCCAACACAGTGCGAGACGTGCGGCAAGGCTTTCTTCAAGCAGGAATCACTGTCAAAGCATCCATGTGTCAACATACTCGATGCCACTGGCGCCGATTTGGGATCACGCAAGCGGGACACCGACCTAACCCCTCTGGTGTGCGAGATCTGCGGCTCAACTTTTTCTTCAACAAGCAGTCTCAACGTTCACAGGTGATACTTGGAAAACACAGTGGTGCTGCTTTTGTGCCTAGAACATGGTGTAACATGGTGGGCAAGCAGCAAGTGGGCGAGATAGATAAATTACACTGGCAGAGTGCTAGTGCTAGCTGTGTTTCTCAGTATCTGCATTTCGCCTATGTGATGCTGTGGAACACTTAAAAGTCCAGGTTATGGTGCAAATAAAGTGTGCACTGGTTAGCTAAACAAATGGCACAGACTCCTCTCCTACTTAACTTATAGTGTTGAATAGAAGGCATTCTAAAGAAAAAACCAGTAAAGTCTAATAAAGTACTTTAGCAGAACTTCCACTTTATTAATTATTTATTATGAATTTATTATTATTATTTATTATAATTTATTATTAATTTTGCAGTAACGCTTATTAGAAATGAAAAATGAGTGTTAGTGATCACCCCCCCACCTCCTCTGCCTGTCTTTTGTTTTTTATTTCTCATGAAATCGCAGTCGCTAGTTTGTTAGCGGCACATCATTAGTTCCAAGGTGTCTCGTCATAGTGGCACATCATTAGTTCCAAGGTGTCTCATCATACTTGATTCATTGTGGCATAACAAAATCATTTGGAATTTGCTGTGCTAAGTTTTGCCATCCTTTAGGATGCAATGCATTGTAGTTCACCTATGGAAATATGAAATTATGCAGGTTTTACTGTCAAAATCCATGACATTGCAGTTGATCTGACATAGAAACTTCAAGGAGGCATTACCATCAGTTTTTTAATATATGGCATTTTCTAGCTTGTCTCCTTGTATGCTGAGTCACTTTTTTTTGCACATGTTGTAGAAACATCATTTTGCTAATAGTAGAGCCTCTCTAATTTTCCCGACTTGTGAAGTTATGCAGACATTCCAGTTGACAGTTTCTTTAAAACCTTTCTTTATCATAGGAGTACCAGTGCATCTTTAAAAAAAAGCACATTTTAAAGTTCTAGTAGCAAGATTGCTGTGAAATATGAGTACATAGCCAACGTCTGGTTGCTTAAGTGCTCAAGGAATCACGATACTTTACAATTGGTAGGCAGTCTGAAAATTGATACATTAGACAAAATGAGCCGATGTAATGATACCATTGCAATGTAGTTTGTGTGCATCAAGTTAGAATGCCATACCTATCCACTGTCGTCATCACTATCATTAGCGCCCTATTTTATGTTTACAGCAGGACAAAGGCCTTTTCCTATTGCCTTCAATGATTTTCTGAGCTAGCCTAACTTTTTCATGAGCTCCCAAAACATCGCATTTTTCTTTCCTTTCAGAAACCTTCATGGAGAAAAGCGATTCCAGTGTGACAGTTGTGGCAAACGCTTCCATCGTAAGGACCTCTTGTTGGAGCACCACGCAGTACATGGTGATCCAACATTCCCGTGTCCAACGTGCCAAAAACTCTTTAAGACTAAGAAGTCCCTGGACGTGCACATGATGATCCACAGTGGTGTCAAGAGGTTTAAGTGTGGTGTCTGCGGAAAGGCAAGAATGATTTGTGGCTTGAATACCTTCTGACAGATACAACTACAGTCTTGTGTAATTTGGAGTCAAGCTGTATTGGGAGAATCATTATATTGAAGCCTGAATTACTGACGTCATTTCTGTGATAAAAACCACATCAGTTAGCATCATTTCATTTCTGACGTCGTTTTTATGTCAAAATCAAACAGAAATGATGTGCTGATTGCACAGATGGAAGCCGGTTTTGTGTGACCATTATTGTACGCCACCCAGAATTGGTGTTGATAGACATTTGTGTTGCTTGTGGTGATGCAGGAGTTCTTCCAAAAGGGCAACCTTCAGAAGCACGAGGACACACACCTGAGTGAGAGGCGGCACAAATGCACAATCTGCCACAAGGTGTTCGCCACGCGAGAGTCCCTGGCCCGCCACGTGCTGGAACACTCCCAGGGCAAGAGCTGCACCTGCGATGTCTGCGGACGGGGCTTTGTCAAGGTACTGGCCTGTGGCTGTGCAATGAATGAAGTCGTATGCAATCTGCATGAGATCAGTCATGTTGAGTGATAGTGACAGGTTGTGTAGGTTTGGTGACTCCAGTGGCCCTTCTAACTCATTTTTTCCCTTGTTTCTTTCCTGGTCATGCTATCTGGCTCCGTTATTAAAATATTGCTTCAAGTTGCTTCTTACCATTTTATTAGCAGGGGCAAACATGACAGCACACTCACATTTAATGATTTGTAAGCCTCACAGCTGTTGCGCTTGTTTTCTAGGAGCACCTGCTACGCAGCCACCAGCGCATGTTCCACTCAGCGCAGAAGTACCTGTGCTGCTACTGCGGCCTCAGCCTCAAGCTGCGCCACTCTCTCAAGCGGCACCTGCGCAAAAAGCATCCTGAAGAAGAGTCCCAGTGGTCCAACCCTGATGCACTTAATGCCATGTTAGCCCCCAAGGTGAATCACTGTAATTTGATTGGTAGTGATTGTGCACACATGGCAATTCATGCGTGGTATACTGGCATACGTCTTTCTTTTTTCCATACCGAACATTCCCTCAGAAAACCAGCAAGATTCCGTGAAATATTTTCCATCTGACCCACTTCATAAATTTCCCGAGTACACTCAAACCTCGATATAACAAATTTGGATATAACAAAGTAAGTGATCAATAACTTTGCCTTAGATACAGTGTTACAAATAATTTTTTATAACAAATTTTCCGATATAACAAAGTATTTTCATAGCAGAAGCAAGTTTGTTATAATGAGGTCTGAGTGTACCTGGGCTTCTGAAAATCTGAATTTCAAGTCTCCGGTGTGGTAGAGCACTTGTTACTGCTTTTCTGTCATTTATTTTGTCAGGAGGTAATTTGCTGCACTTAGCTCCTCAATCCTGCTGCTACCAAATACAGCTCTTCTTACCCTTTCTTTGGGAGGAGACAAGAAAAATGAATTTTTTTATATTATGTGCTTAAAACTGCACTAAGAATTTCTATTGCTAGAATCCTTCATGGCAGTGGAGGTATAGTGCAACTCGCTGTGAGATCAGTCTGTTGACTAGAGTTGAACCTTAGACTTGCTGGTATTGTTGGCCGTAAAAGTTTGCGGGATCTCCAGCGTGTGGCGCAGCAACAAAAAACTGCATTGCTGTGTCACCTATCCTGACGGGGTGGGTGTTTAGGCTATCAGCCTCAGCGATTAGTGACGGCACGTTTAGACAATGCGCAGTTGCCACATCTTATCGTAGAGGCTGCGGCTCATATTCTCAACAACCACCGTGTCACGGTACGTGACGTAGCGATGCAGGCTTTTATCGCTCCGCAACACACTGCAGATCCTGCAAGCTTATGCAGCCTTAAGTATGTCATACTTGTACAGTGCTGACACTGCACACCCTACGCTAGGCACAAGGGCTGGCATTGCAGTCTATGCCATTCTTGTGTCCTATGCCGATTGCTTTGCGCTCCAGTGTTTTTGGAATAGGGTTCAGTTGAACAAATTATTTAAAGTAAGGCTTCTGTTCTAGACATTTCTCACGGGTTTGTTGTACTAGCTGCGCCTGGTTGCCCAGTTTCTCACTTGATTCACTTATTTCACTACTAAAGCCAGCACTCTATCATCCGGTCAGCACTGTGCCTGCTGACAGTGAAGATGTACGAATGTTTTATGCCTGAATGACCCATATTTGCAGAACCTCACGAAGTTTCACAGACTTTATCATCGTTAGTACCTATGTGATTTGCTAATATTTTCTCCTCATTATGTTTAGCGCCATTTGGATTATGCTCATAAGCTTCTAAAACTAAATCATTCAGACAGTCATACATCACATGCACATTAGGTGATCGAAATTACTTTCCCAAATTGCTAGTGACAGTTTTAAATCACATGTTTGTGGCTTTATTAACAAAATTTTTGTAATATGTTGTTGTATCTTGCATCTTCATAGCCATACTTTATAAGCAAGAACATTGCACTGTTACCTTTTCATTTTAATAGAAATATTACACAGTGATGTTCCCTAATATGTATGTTTCTACTGCAAATTCGTGCTATATTGTGCCTATCTAGAACTGTTACTGCATAGTCAAAAAGGGCACAGTTTCACTGCAAGGGCGAAGCAATGAATGTGATAGCTACCACATGGAATGTAACGCTAAGAACGGCAAGCAAATCGAAACATGCAGTGTGCTTCTCACGCATAAATGATGTAGGAAAATAACATACACAGGACGAGAGCGAACTAACATTTACCGCTCGACACTGAATGCGCTGTTTAAGCAAAAACGACGCACGAAACGTAATCACAAGTACAGATGATTGCAAATTAACAAGTGCACCAGTTGTTATACTTCACTGCGTATGAAAAACGTGCTATCTTTGCAAATGGGGCCTGTGCAGTGAGCAAAGTGACCTTTGTGGGCCCGGCAACTAATGCAATCATTCCTGTGAAAGCCGATTGTCCCCACCAAAGGATAAGTGCGCGCGCACAAGCATCTACCCCCCCCCCCTCCTCCCATTCGCGGGGCAAAGTATGTGTGGGATGGGAGATAAGCACATGTCCGCGCATCGTAACGAGCTGGGCGCCGAGTACGGGCAGCTTTTTTTTGTTTTTCTTGAGTTTTCATATATATATATAGATACGTATACATATACGGTGAATGACGGCTGCAGCGGCAAAAAATCAGCTGAGGCTGTCCATATAATTGCTATCGCAATAAAACATTATGTTACTTCTTTGTACAAGCCTGTTTTTAGTGTTTCACCACAATCTCTGTGTAAATATTGATGGCATTGAGGGTATCATGAATAAATTCTAAAAAAGTAAGCTATAGTCCTACAGTTTCCGTGGAACGAAAGTGGCTGTGGTTGGGAAACTGCATTTATCCTTATTTCGTTGCATTTTACGCTTTAGGTAGTGTAGTCAGTGGGGTTGCCTTATCTCATTTAGACGTGCAGGCATCTACAAGGTCCGCCATTGTGGCCAGGGGTGATTGCAGGATAAAATTGTCATTTAAATCTTATTGTGCTAGACAATGCAGTATACCAGGTTGTATCTCTTAATTATGTTGTGCCATTTTGTCTTGATGGCTCACAAAAGCTGTGTGTAGAGCGACTCCTAAGAGGCACAGAACCTGGATAATATTTATTCACGCTTTTGTGAGGCTATATCAGTTGGAGCTTTCAACACCCTTTGGATTTTCAGGCTTCCGAAAACACTGGGCTCGAATCAGACATGGGCCTGGATACAGACGCCACTGTTGAGAGTCTTCAGCATGCTGCAGAGACGGCTACCAATCCAACAGTGACAAACTTTGAAGTGGCTTTCGAAGGCACAAATATTAACACTTCCATGTCCGATGTTGGAAACAACATCATGCAAGATTCTACGGAATCCCTTGTGGCTAGTGTAATGGGTCAACATGGTGAGTGACTTTGGTGTGCTCAAGTGATTTTGACCTTTCTTCATGACAGAGAAAGCCCTGTTCTAGGGTCTATGCAATATGGCCGGTGAAAATAATTGATCATAAATTCTATCAGAGGGCATAATGATGGGGTCTCAAAATCGCTCCAGCAAGCGAACGGCAGTCATTAAATTTAGTACTGCCTAGTGCCAGCAGAGTAAACTGGATAGGAGTGCAGGGGGGGGGGGTTGTACAAAATATCAGGTAATGTTGCTATATTTGAAAGGCCTTTCTTAAATCATTTATACGGCCAGTTTCTGAAGAACATTCGGTACCAAGATTCCAACGAAATATTGATACCAATCTCCAAAATGCCCGAACTCTAAATGCCGATTCTGGAATATGAAGTTGTTGTTTCAAGGACATGTTTCAACACGTGGCAACCGCAGGGGATGTCTCACAACAAAACTGCTTTTGTGCAAAGGCATCCCAAATTTCTTTGTAACTCTTGAACATATTGGTTAAAAAAATAAGAGGAAATAGGGCACATAAACAGTCGTGTGCAGGTCGAACTGCTAGTGAGAAGGTGGCTCGCATGAGGCTTCCTTGTTTGAGATCTCTGGTTGTGAATGTGGCTTCTTGGGTGTTACCCATAAGCTTTCCCTTGCATTCTACAACCTGCTCTCTGTCCTTTGTGCTTTGTGCTGCAGGCAGCTCAGAGGTTCTCTTGGCAGTTGAAGGCCTTAGCAGTGAGGAACTTCGTGAGGCGATCGCGAGTGGTCGAGCCCAGATAAAGCAGGGACCGACACCTGACACCATAGAGATTTCTATGCCTTTTGATGTGGCGGATGAGACGGGCAGGCAGGTAAGTTGCAAGTGCACATGGGAGTGGTTTTGTGGCTGTGTTTCTGCCACCCGTTCTTTTATAGAAAGTTGGTACAAAGCACCACCATAATCTTTCTTGAGAACAATTATGCTCACGTACTACCTCACAAACCTTCTGAAAGTGTTTTGAAGCTACGGGGACTTCAGCCACTTGGAAAAGATGATCTAGGCTTTCTTGTGACTCATTCAGTATTTGTTTAGAACATACATGCACGAATTGAGGAGGTATTGCCTGATAAATTAGGTTGGCCAGAACAGACTCTTGTATCAGCTCTTGCCTTGCATATCTTGTGCCCATTTTCGATTCTCTTCTTATGCCTAATTTCATTATACTTTGCTCTGCATGTTATGCAGGTGACATACATGGCTAACCTGGTAGACCCTGCAGACCAGGTAGTGGTTGACGATGAGACATCCGTGATCACAGAGAATGTACTCGAGGAAGAGTCTGTGCTAAATCAAGCAGCATCTGGACAATATTTAGTGTCTGAGCTGAGCGAAACTATTGTCGCTGCTGGAACCATGGTGGAAGATCACACTGCCATACAGTCCTTACAGGATGACTCATCTTCACAGATGCAGAACATGGTAGCGTTACCTTTTAGGCTATTGTGTGGCTTCCGAAAAATATTAGTTGCTGATGTAGTAGCTAGCAGCCCCTAATTACCAAGGAGAGAGAAATAGTGAACGGGCAGTGTAACGACAGGGTGGTTAACTGCTACGTTACATGTGGTTTAGTACCCTACCCTGGGAAAGGGAGTAGTGGGAAGAAAAGAAAAATCAAACTAGTCACAGGCAGTGAGTAAAGCTGCATGCTGAATAAAACGTCCATTTTACTACTAGTGCTGGCGGCCATAGCAAACTAGTCAACAACCACTTATAAGATAGCCACTCATTTATCCTTTAAGCAGTAGACTCCCATTGAATGAAACTCTCTTAAACGATTGATTGATTCATTGGTATGCGGGGTTTAATGTCCCAAAAACCACCATATGATTATGAGAGACACCGTAGTGGATGGCTCCAGAAATTTCAACCACCTGGGATTCTTTAACTTGCACCCAAATCTGAGCACATGGAAAATTCTCTTAAACAAAATTTTGCTTAAATGGAACAACAGCCTTTAATATGATTGGTTTCTTACGTGACTTCTGTACCCCTGCTTATCTCTCAATAAACAAAACTAAACACATTTCTCAGGTCCCTTCAGGTTTCGTTTAACAGAAGTCTACTGTTTTTCTCATTTAGAAAAATTTTTTAATAAAAAAAGGGAAATATAAAATAACAAAGATGAGAAGCTTGTCGAAAGTTTTGCTGCGAAACTTGTTCCTTTTATTATTCTGCACTCAGTACTCCCTTTTCTTTCTCAGTTGCCTTTCTACCGTGAAATCCCGAGCTAGGCCCCCTCCCCCATCACTGTGGAATATAATCTGACAATATTTGGAGGGCGGCCCATGCTTGGTTGTGAACCAAAATTTAAGATGGCAGTAGAATAGTAGTCAAGAAGTGCTTCTGATGAAATTCTTTGTTGAATGTGCATGCATTTACCGTTTTGAGAACCGAATGGGCTCCCTGTGTAAAATTTTGCGTGTTATGACAAGGACGGAAAGGCGTTTTTCAGATGTCCCGACAATCTGTGACAACTCTGAATGTAACCCTCAGGCGCCTTGCTGTAAAAGTAAAAATGAATCTGCACATATCTGAAGACTCTCAGAACTTTGATTCCTGCTAACTAGTGCTGCAGGACTGTGTAGCCGAGAACAGTTTGAAAAGAAAAAAAGAAAAAGAAGGCAAGATTATAGGAGGGTTCTTATCAGGATTTTACAGTAGTGGAGGCCACGTTACTGATCTTGTGAGTGTAATTTGTCTACCTTTTGAACTGTTATGAAAGTGTTGCTCAGTGTAAAGGTTTCATTGCAGTGCCTTGATATGCAGGCATATTTATTTATTTCATCATAGCTACGGATCCGCAGTAGCTTTATAAATAAGTAGGTTACATTTACTGTAGTTTTTTTTTTTTTTGTAATAGCACAGCATTTGAAAGGGCTATATTTTCATGAAAAGAGGGCTTCTCAGGTCAAACCTACTAATTTCTGTCTTGATTTCTTCGCAGTCAATGGCCATATGGCTACTTTGACATACATATTAGCAGCACTTAAACAAAACAGCAGGCAGGAAGTGAAAAAGAAGACAACAGAATAGGGCCGGTGCTATATTCGTGCAGTCTTTTGTTTTCAGCATTGCTAAAAACGTGAAATTACACAAATCAACCAGCCTGGCTTTATGTTTGAAATACATTCTTTCTACTCATGCTACCTTTGTCAATCAATCAGTAAATAAGCAAGAAAATCCAGTTTCTCTGAGTAAGAGTGCTGCATTTGCTTTCACATCGAAGGTGGTGCAGGAAGCAGTTGACTCGAGTTCAGAGCCAGAGTACATCACCCTGCCAATGTATGAAGCAGAAGCAACAGCAGAAGACCACCAAACTGTATCACTCGAGGCTGCAGACAGTGGAAAGGCAGCTGGAGTGACAGCAGCGTCTCATCTCACAACTGCACTTTCCTGCGAGGAACCCCAGTTTTTGGTCACCGAACAAGAAGTTGCCGAGAGTACCCATGTTGTATATAACCCTGGCCAGCTCCAAGAACAAGCAGCCATGCCCCAAGGTAAGGAGGAAATGGACATCAATACACATAATTGAGCTAGTATAATGAGACGTCTGAAACATGCAGTTTGGCACAATGCGATTTTCTATACAGGGGAAATTGAAAGAAATGCGAAAAGTACAGCGGGCTTATTTTCTTTGCACTCCGACCTTTGTGGCTATTAAAGACTGATAGGGTGGTTCTTGAATGTACTATGCATGGCTCTACTGGTTTTCATTACCGCACAGGATACAATCGCTTGAAAAAAAAAAAAAATGCGATAGAGTAGGGAATGTACATGTGTTTCTTTCAATCACCGTAGTATATGCACTTTGTAGCACGACTTGCTATTGTCATGCTGCAAATCGAACTTTCAAAACCTTAATTATGAGGCACATTGTCAATATTTCTTGAATAATTAAAAGGTGTAGGTATGAATTCACTGCCTCCAAGCTTTTTCATACTGTGTGCATTAGTACTGCAGCACTTTTTTTTCTCTCCATAGCTATTAACTGCGAGGAAATGTGTGCCACCATTGCACTTTTGCTGTCTTTCATGACTTTGGGCTGTCGGCACTTGGAAGTGCAAAGTCATAATTGTGGGCTTCCATGCAATCGATTTACCATAGTAAGGGTAACACGACTGAAAATTTAAAGCCAACCTTACAAATTCAAAATAATTAGCAGGAGATCCAATGGTAATGTAAAATAAGTTGTGTAATTTTCCAAAACCACATTTTTCTGTTAAAGCGGTGTGTCAAAGCTTCGTTAAATAGTACTCTGTCAACTTCTCACAGAGTCAGACAAGGGCTTAAGTAAACTGACAGTGAATCGGTCATATCTACAGTGCACCTAACGAGCTTCAAGCATGCCATACTGATGGAGTCTTTTTTTATTCTTATTTTTTTATTTATAGGCACTATTGTTCTCGATGATGGCACCATACTGCAACAGGAGGAACAGCAGGGTGCTTCTTCTGATCTACTGCTTTATGTTCTCACTACAAGTGAAACACAAGACGGCTGACCAAGACAGCACTGGTGACCAGTGTTGACATGAAACTCTGTAATGGTAGCACTGAACCGAAGCCCTTGTGGAAAATGCAATCTTGTAAGACACATTAGCAGATAACATAGAGTGACGTGTGACTGCAAACTTTATTACGTGCTGCTGCTTGCATAGGAACGGGCCTCAAGTGGATGTTGTGTAGATATTGTTACGGGAAGAAACCAGACCCACGGTTGCAGAGTTGGTGTATTCACAGTGATTGCAGAGGTTTCCTAGGCCGAGATAAGTCCCGTCCTCTTCCTCCAATCTGAGTGAAGTTCCTCGTTCTCTTTACCGCAACGTCACCCTCCCGGCGGGCGTAGCTCCGTCCTAGTGCACATCATGGAGCACCAGTTGAGGCGGGGATACACGGCTTGAGCCTGGCGACGTGAACAACGTTGCTGTTGATATGAGGTAGCAAAGACACGTCAGACAATTGCCGTGTGATCTTGTACGGACCAGAGTAGTGACAGATGAGTTTTTCAGCCAAGCCAACACGGCGTAAGGGCGTCCAAAGGAGGACAAGAGAACCTGGAGAAAATTTTGTGTCTCGGTGCTGGTCGTTGCGTCGTTTTTGAGAAGCTTGCGATGTTGTGAGGCGTTGACGAGCAACGTCTCGGGCATGGGTGGCCAAAATGATTGCATCACGGGCGTAATCGTTCAATGAGAATTTGACACCAGATGATAGCAACGTGTCAAACGGCAAGACAGGGTCGCAGCCATACAAAAGGTAAAATGGCGAAAATCCGGCGGTTTCGTGACGGGATGAATTGTAAGCAAAAGTTATGCATGGTAAAGCGGCGTCCCAGTCATGGTAATTGCCGGGAACGTACATGGCAAGCATGTCAGTTAGAGTGCGGTTCAGTCGCTCGGTGAGCCCATTCGTTTGAGGATGGTATGCGGTATCGATCTTGTGTTCAGTAGCAGTGGAGTGGAGCAGGTTATCGACGACCATCGACAAAAAGTAACGGCCACGATTCGTTAGTAACTGTCGAGGGGCGTCGTGGAGTAAAAAGTCCGCAACATCTGTAGCGCAGCTAGTCGGTATCGTGCGTGCAATGGCGTATCTTGTGGAATAATCTGTCGCGACGGCAATTCACTTGTTCTCTTTGATAGAGAGAGAGAATAAAATGAGGGAAAGGCAGGGAGATTAACCAGAAATTGGAGCATCCGGTTTGCTACCCAACACTAAGAGAAGGGAGAATAAAGGTGGGAAAGAAATGGGGAATGGGCCAAGTAGGTCGAGGCCCACACGAAAGAATGGTTCTGTTTGGACCTCAATTGGCTGAAGCAAACCAGCAGGAGGCAAAGCAGGCGTTTTCCGCCGCTGACACAGGTTACAAGAAGCGACATAGCGGCGCACAGAGTGATAGAGACCAGGCAAGAAGAAGCGGCGCCTTCCACGGTCGTAAGTCCGAGTGACGCCCATATGTCCAGCAGTAGGAGCGTCATGAAATTCCTGGAGCACGGCGAGCCGCAGGTGCTTGGGAATGACTAGTAAGAGCTCAGGACCATAAGACTGAATGTTGTGGTGGCACAAAATGTCGCTATGCATTGTGAACATCCGGAGAGAGGGGTCGGTGGTCGTGTCGCTTAGATGGTCCATAAGGTTTTGAAGAATAGGGTCTTGTCGTTGCTCGCTGCCTATGTGAAGAAAGCCGGATGTGGAAAGAGTACAGATGTTTATGTCACTATCAGCGTCGTCCAGTTGATCCACAGGATGGCGAGAAAGGCAGTCAGCATTGTTGTGCATGCGTCCAGATTTATGCACTATTGTGAAGTCACACTTTTGTAGACGCAATGCCCAACGCACAAGTCGTCCAGTTGGGTCGTTTAAAGAGGGGAGCCAACAGAAAGCATGGTGATCTGTGACGACACGAAAAGGACCACCAAACAAACATGGTCGAAATTTTGCGACAGCCCAAATGTGTGCAAGGCAGCCTCGCTCAGTTATCGAGTAATTGCGTTCGGGCGTGGGGGAGAAGGTGACTCGCATAGGCGGTGACATGGTCATGGCCCTGTTGATGCTGAGCGAGAACAGCGCCTATACTATGACCGCTCGCGAAGTGGCACTTTGAGGAATTCAGCTGAAGGCCAGCAGAGCGAAACACCGAGAGTATAGTTCTGAGGCCCTGCAGGTGACTTTCAAAAGTCGCCGAAAACACGATAAGGTCGTCTAGGTAACAGAGGCACGTTGACCACTTTAAACCACACAAGAGGGAGTCTATCATGCGCTCGAATGTAGCTGGGACATTGCACAGTCCAAAAGGCGTGAGTTTGAACTGGTAAGCCATATGGTGTTACGAAGGCGGTTTTTTCGTGGTCCATCTCATCAATGCTGATATGCCAAGAGCATGAACGGAGATCGATTGAAGAAAAATTGTTCGATCTGTGAAGGCAGTCAAAGGAGTCACCTATTCGGGGCAGTGGGTTCACATATTTTTTGGTTATCCGGTTCCGGTGACAGTAATCGACGCAGAAGCGCCTTCGATTTGTCCTTTCTTGTAACCGAAACCACTGGGGATGCCCACGAGCTACTCAATAGTTCAATGATGTGCTTTTCAATCATTTTGTCGACCTATTTTTGTATGATGGTCCTTTCTGCAGCGGAGACACGATATGGCCTCCTATGAATGGGGCTCGCCTCACCGTTGTTGATTCGATGGGTGAGAACAGACGTTTGTCCCAGAGGCCGCTCGTTCAAGTCAAAGATATTCCAATAAGATGGCAGCAGGTGACGAAGAGCTGTTGTGTGTTCCTCAGGAACGTCAGGGGCAATCATCTTAAAAATGTTGTCCACAGTCTACGAGGACGAAGCAATCGGCAACAAAAGTGTGCTGCTATCGAAGAGAGAAAAGAAGTAATATTGTATTCTTTCAGAGGAGAGAGATTCACCATGGCGATGCCCTGGGGAACCACATCAGCGAGTGGCGACACGACATAGTCGCCGTCTGAGACGGGAGAAGAGGGCCTTAGGACAACAGCTGTCGCAACCTTTGGAGAAAGACGAACGAACTCTGCCGAACATAAATAGGATGGTGCACAAGTTGCGGTGTTGGCAGGGAAGGGAAGATCAAGCTGTACAACTCCATCAGAGCAGTCAATCTGGGCTGCATGCTGCTCAAGAAAGTCTATGCCCAGAATGAGGTCGCGTGGACACTGTTCGAGTACAATAAACAAATTTATAGCATAGCGGTCGCCGACGGTGACACGGGCTGTACACACTCCAACAACAGATGCAGTGCTACTGTCGACAACTCGTACTGTACTCGTTGCGGCGAATGTGAGGACCTTTCAGAGCCTTTGGAAAAGAGCAGCGCTCATAACCAATAGCTGCGCCCCCGTGTCCACAAGAGATCGGACATGACATCCAGTAGGTTTCCACATGTAGGCAGGGTCGGTAGAGGGTTTGGAGGCCAGGTAGAAGTTGCAGCGTCACCTCCGATAGCTGCGCTGCCTAGTTTCCCGAAGGAAGCGACCGATTGTGCATGGGAAAGATGAGCGGTGAACGTGTCCGACGGCCTTGTGGAGGCGAGGAGTGGCTAGATCTTGGCTGGAAATTGTCGGCGATGGTGCTCTAGCTCGGCATGTAGGGCGAGAAAGAAGGACCATCCGGCAGTTGTTGGTTGTGACTAGGAGACTAGCACCAGGGAGGTGGTGTAAAGCGACTGCGGCAGTGACGGGCCATGTGTCTAATACGAGAGCAATTGAAGCAGATTGAACGAGGTAAGTGTTTGTTTGCCGAACCGAGCAGAGTGATGGCATGCCCAGACTTGTAATTTCTTCTCGAATGACCGCTTGATTGAGGGTGACGGATGGCATGTTATCCCTGAAGTCGGAACGAATAGGTGGAGCGTGAGACATGGCCTCAAGCTCACGGCGAATAAGGCGCACGATGTCGTCAGTTGCCGTGGGATGGATATGCCACGGTGGATCTTCACAGGTCGCGGCGGTATTTGGCAATCTGTCATGCGATTGAGCAACTCGGTGGCCTTTTGCCTGTTCGAAGCGCTGACGCTCTTTGATGAGCTCATCCACCGTAGTACAATTTCTGCTTACAAGGAGGTTGAAGACATAATCGGCAACACCTTTTAGAATGTGCCCAATCTTGTCAGCCTAGGTCATGCTGTCGTCAGCTTTACGACAGAGAGATGGTACACCTTGTATGTAGATGACATGCGACTCTGCTGACGTCTGAGCGTGGCCTGCAAGTTCTTTCTTTGCAGCCAGCTGACGACCAACCGGTCTGCCGAACATATCTCGCATTTTCTGTTTACAGACTTCCCAGCTCATCAAGTCAGCTTCATGTGTCTTGTACCTTTGCCACACAGTTCCTTTAAGTTAGAAGAGCAGGTTCACTAGCATGAGGGTTGGGTCCTACCTTAGCTGTCGCTCACTCTCTCGTATAGTTTTAGCCACTCCTTGACGTCAGTATTATCCATGCCACAAAGGAGCCCAGGGTCCGGTCTCACGGATGAATCAAGAAGACCGCTAGCATGGCCGTTGACGCTTGGTTTGCCATCGTTACTGGCTCAGACTTTGGCTGTTGGTTTGCTCTTGTGGCGGCAGGCAGATGACATCCGCTGCGAAGTTCCGTCCTGGTACCCCAGCCCCTCCGCCAAATGTTACGGGAAGAAACCTAACCCATGGTTGCAGAGTTGATGTATTCACAGTGATCGCAGAGGTTTCCCAGCCGGAGATAAGTCCCATCGTCCTTCCTCCAATCTTAGTCAACTTCCTCGTTCTCTTTACTCCAACAATATTAGGACATTTGTACAGCCACCACTGGTCATGCAATGTGGCACTTGTGGCAAAATTGTTAACGTAGTTCCTGAATCAGGGACTTTCAATTGACTTCTTTCTTTGCGGCCCCGCCGCAGTGGTCTAGTGGCTAAGGTACTCGGCTGCTGACCCGCAGGTCGCGGGTTCGAATCCCGGCTGCGGCGGCTGCATTTCCGATGAAGGCAGAAATGTTGTAGGCCCGTGTGCTCAGATTTGGGTGCACGTTAAGGAACCCCAAGTGGTCGAAATTTCCAGAGCCCTCCACTACGGCATCTCTCATAATCATATGGTGGTTTTGGGACGTTAAACCCCACGTATCAATCAATCAATTATTTCTTTGCAGTAAGGTTCTATGGCATAACATTATATGCAGGGTGCTGTTTTTTCTTAGGGCATAAATATTTTCAAGAAAGAGTTTGACAGGGAGCTTTCGAAACACTTGACCTTCACAAGCTCATTGAAATCGAAATTGACTGGGGTAAAAAGAATGCATATAATAACGCTCTCACCAGCCACACTTAAAGTCACTCTACAGTCAGCTTTCACATGGTACTGTTGCAAACAGGCGAATTGTGTCATGTCTTTTTCTGGCAGAGAGCGTGCAACAGATGGACCTACTGCAAGACAAGATGTCCGTATGGCATAGTTGTTTATTCTTCGTCTCCCGAGCTGCAACGGCTTGCAAGGGCTGCCGCCACAATAGGGCGAAGGAACGAGACGAAAAGGAAAGCGTACGCAGGAGATTGTCATAAGCATATGCAAAGGCACAGTGTAAGAGGCAACAGACAAAGCTTGGGCTTTCGAGTTCCGACGCTCACCGCACTTTTCTGTTTGGCAAGCAGCCCATTTTATGCCGGTGGTAGTGAATTCTGACAGAAATTTGCTGCCCCACAAAATTGGTGTGAGATAAAATGATGAGCTGGATTCGGCACAGCTGCAACACTTCAAAGTGCTGTGCTATTGCCCGAAGTACAAAAATTAAAAAAAAACTGGGTTTCTTCATTATTAAAGTAACTTGAAACGCTTAAGAATAATGCTGAATTCCGATAGTGTGCCATCTAAACTGTGTTGCAAATAAAGGAAGGAGAAGGCGCGGCAGGCACAAGCATGAGCCACGGGGCGCTGGCTTGCTCAGTTGTTCCTTTGACCTTCGACGTAGCCAGCGGATCGACTCCAGGATACCCTTCTTGGTTTCTTGCACTTCGTTATTGGCCATGCTACAAACTGACAAAGCATCCTTGCAATCTTTGCAGTGCCAGACTCAAATGCACAAGGAATAACATGCCAATGAGATGAACACAAGTGACATTAACAAGCGCTTTCTGAAAATTGACAACTCAGATGATAATATTTGCATAAACAACTGAATGATTTTATATGGGTCGATGTTCTAAAAAGGACATAAATGAAATCACTGTAAATATATTTTTTTCACCTAAGTTTCAACGGCACTACCTGCTAGCCACACAGTCTGGCATCAGCATGTGTGCAAAAATTCACGGACTGCAACTTCTATTAAGTTTAGGCTAGGAAAAATAATGCTTCACCAGATAATCTAACGGAATTGCAAGAGGTTTATAACCACTGCAAGTAAGTTGCAGTCAGTTTGCCGTTCATTTTTATATGCATCCGATACGACAAGCCGTGCACATGTAACGTAATGTCATTGTACAAAAACGTGTAGCCAAGTCATCTAAATCTTGTATCCGCATCCTCGGCCTTGTCAACACAGTTACACTTTAGACACGTCGAGAAATGTCAAGCATCATTCACTGTGCAATTGTTCCCATTTACAGGAACAAAAGCTTTGCTGAGAACCCCTGTACGAAAATCTAGCGTAAGAATGTTCAAAACATGCCAGGCATATGTAGATGCACAGTAATCTCAGCTGTTCAGCACCAAGTTGAAAAGCACGTCAGGCCTGCTTGCCACTCACAATCATTAATATCTTTGCCATCAATATATGCTAACAAATCCTAAATCGTAATGTAGCAGTCCAACATCACAGTTGCTGGAATGTTGTCTTCACCAGAATGAACCCTATAAAAATCCCTTTGTGGAAGCAGATGCAGTATTACCTTCATCTAAAGTGGTACTTGGCTACATGACCCGCTGTTATAGAAAGTTGGCCGACTAGGTTTGAGATCAAGATTACACGAGCAGCACAGAACACGCAATGAAGTGAAGCAAAAGCAAATTATAAGGGACTTTATGCTACACAGGCAAGTGCTATTTGCAATATCAGTGGTCCAAGCTATTTCCTGACAAAATTGCAATATGCTATGGCTGCCATGTTAAGCAAAATATATGCGTACAATAGCAAGATACATCTATACGACTATTCTGTTATTCGGCCAACTTTGCGCACTAATCCTGCTGAGATGTCTTTCGAATGCGTAATGGCTTGTGTCAGAAAAACAAAAAGCTACTAATTTATGCACATTGCAACATAACTTGCAGAGAGCTTGCTGTTGGTTTGTCACTGTTAGAAGTCGTAGCACTTAATAATTGTGTTATGTCCCCCTTTAACTTCTGTGGATACACAGGGCCTTTATTATAACAGGACATCAAAGCACGCTGGATAATTGAAAGTAGTGTAATAAGAGAAACAGCTGAGCACAAGCCTGCTGTTATGTTCGTACAACCTCCGAGAGCACAGATAATATTTTACGACGCTTCCAGAGCTGGTACGGACTTTGCTCACCAAGTGGAAGTACTTTGCCAAGTTCTTTCTGTTATTTATTGTGCACTATTCAGTGTCACTGAATATTCCAGGTACACTACACCATTCACAAAATGAGATAACATTACATTGTAGCATTCAGCTTTCAAGAGTGGCCTTCACATGAAGTTGGTCGTTTCTTGCCACAGCCTCTGCTTGTGATCCTGCTCAACAATTTCTTCAAGCGTGCTGGCAGCTTGGGATTCATTTGTTATGATCATCATTGTTTGCTAGCAAATGTACAAATGTGTGTCGTGCAGTATTGTTTGTTACTTATGAAAAGTGGCTCGAAGTGACTGACTCGCTGTAATTTGATAAAAGAAATGGTGTGTTGTTGGACTTGTCACCCAAGTACACTTTCATTGAACAGTACACCATTTTCTACATAAATGTGCTATTTCTCGCTACACAAATAAGTTGTTCATACATCTGTACATATGCATCTTCAAGCTCATGGTGGCGGCATGTATTTTGTTGTAGGTATGTTAAAGGGACCCTAAATCTGTTTTTACAATTTTGTCAGCATTTAGGCTATAGCTTCATCAAATCATTAGCACCACAAATTAAGCAATGCACCGTGTACTAAGGCAACTATGGGTATATGTATGCCCCACTTCTCGTCACTGCCTTGCTTCCTCAACTCGCTGAATGCTAGGCTATTGCTAATGACTGAAGCACGCTTGACGGGTGGGGCTCTGCTGAGTGTGGCGAACAGCGCACTTGGCACATGCCATTTCAAAAAGTGCAGGGGGATCTGCTCCGACAGGTGTCGCTTAACTAGCAGTCATTCTTACTTTGTTCTCCTGTACAGGGACAATCTGCAAAAGCATGCAGACAATCAAAAAGTATTCCAGAATGATCACCAATAGGGTGAGTGGTTGCATCTTCAGAGGCGAGGTTACAGCCACAGATACATGAACTTCTGGCATTGGTTAGATAGTGAGAGCCCAATGTTGACTGCATCGACGAGTTGAAGCAACTCCACTCGCCATCTAGATGCCTTGCAAGTCTTACATGCTGTTGCAGCTTTACAAGTCGCCAATTGCTAGATTTGCAACATACAACTCGGCTAGGACAATTTATATAGTCGGCCAAAAAAAACCTCAGTATAAACACTGTTGCACTGCTCACGTGAACACGGAGCTTGTTATGACACAGGCAGATGATGCTCGCTGTCCGGCAGAGGTTCAGTGATGTATACTGAACATATTTAATCAGCTGGAGGTAGCAAAAGGAATGCTAATTCGATACATAACTGTTGAAAAAGTGCAAACACAGGAAGGACATCGAGGGCGGGTGCCGAGTGAAAGTTTTATTGAAACCAAGGACATTTAGACACACGAAAGAATGCAAAAAGGTTAGGTTAGAGTTTGTCACGTGCATGACATCAAATAATGAATTTTTTTGAACTGGTCAAGAAATGCACGCGACTGAAATTCTTACTCAATTTTCTTTTTTTTCTTTAATCTAGATATTCCTTGTTTATTTAACAAAACTTTCAGTTTGAGTAGCAGTCAACGCCCATCCTTGTGTCACCTTCTTTCATCCTGCCTTTGCACTGTTTTTTAAACTTTTGAATATCCAATCAAATCGTTCACCATGTGCTATGTATATGAAACACTGCTACACAAAAAGGGCGCCGCAAGTTTAAAACTTGTTTGGCTGTACCTCACATGTTCAATCTTATAAGTTACACAGTTGACATAAAGCTTAAATCAGTCTAGATTCTTAGGACTTGCGTTACCAGCTCAATGCATTTATACCAAACCGTCAAAATCATTTCAGGGTCCCTTTAACCCTACACTTGACTGTGTGCTGTCTGTTGAATGAAATGTAGTTGTGCTTTTGAAAATACCAACTGTTAGAATAGTAATCTGCCGAATTTTCATACAAGTGCATGCAACCATCTATTGTTTGTGTAACACAGACTACATTCACTTCGCAGTGGTTGCAGTAGGCCTCGAGCAAATGTACATAACTGACCTGCCAAAGCTTATGTAAATACAAGTTGTACAAAATGAAATGCCTGTGTGTATTTTGTATTTTTTTGGTAATCTCCCGTGCACAAAATATTCTACTCTTCATTTAAACTGGTGCACAAGTTTGTTGTGTTCTGCAAAAGCAAAGCTAAGAACACAATAATAGATTTACATTACTAGCATACTATCAACTTTGAAACAAAAAAAAGTAGGCTTGTGTAATAAAATTTTTGGTTCAAAAGGATAGTGATTTTGTTCAGATTTCAAGTTGAGTTGAAGTAGTGTATGTCCCATATTACCAAGAAAAATTATACTTGTCATGACCCAGCTTGCACTTGTCACGACCCAACAATATACATATATCTTTAATTTGTACAAGGCGCGTACAAATGTCATTGTTTTTGGTTCAAAGGAAGTGGAGGCAACTTTGAACAGTAGCGGAATTTGACTTTCAGTAGAATGCAACTGGCAACGTGTAAAATTTATCAAGTTTAAAACTGACTATGCTTAGAGTACATAAGTTGGCATAACAAGCTTTTAAGCTCCAAAAAGGAAGAACAATGTGAGGGTAATACGTTCATCTAACCTTGAAATGGGGCTTCACACCAGTGCAGGTTTTTATAGGAAATGTGTTAACAGGTCCGTGCACACTTTTTTAAAGATAATAATATATAGGGTTTTATGTCCTAAAACCAAGGTATGATTATGAGAGACCCCAATGTAACAGGCTCTGGAAATTTCGACCATTTGGTGTTCTTTAACGTGCACAGACATTGGATGTCGGTGCACGTTAAAGAACACCAAATGGTCGAAATTTCCAGAGCCTATCACAACAGCGTTTCTCATAATCATACCTTGGTTTTAGGACATAAAACCCCGTATATTATTATTCTTAGAAAGGTGTACTCAAAGTACAGCACCCTTCTACTGCAGGGAAACCACCTTCACAGGGAGATTACATGCAGACTATTATACACATATTTGTTTACTTTGAATACTCTGAAATTATTTAAAATTTATTTTTAAATGGAAGCAAATACATTTATGTTCGCTCGAATATTCACATGAGCTTCTGCCTTTGTCTTAGGCAAATGCATGAAAAACGCTGTGAATTTTTTTTATATTTTTAAAATTTGAGCTATAACTGCTTGTATTAAATTCAAGCATGCCACTTCGCTTCATTGTTGGTCCTGACAACTGATATAGGTATACGAAAAGAGCAGCTCTGTAAGCTTCGACTGCACACTAAAATTGAAAGGGAAGGATGGACGTTTACAAGTAAAATGTGTGGCTCAATGCCCTACAAAGCACACAGTAGTTGTCCCCTCGCCCAAAGAAGACAGCCACACTAGAATATAAGGAGGCATAGTTAAGGCATATGTAAGGAGCCCAAGCATGGGCTTTCATCCATTATACGTGTGCAAAATGCAACTTTCAATGCAGTGACCATGCATAGGAGGAAACTGCACACGGTGCAGCATCACGCGAAAACTTTCTCCCACCATTATTTTTTCTAGTCTAGGAGAGTTGGCTGCAGAGAGCAGAGTACTATGCATACATCAGATTTCAATTATCTGTAAACATGTTATTTATCACAATTATTAAACCTTGTGTCTTGTCTGCAGCAGTGTGGCCAGAATTGGACGAGAAAAAAGAGACGACAATGAACGGTGTCATCTTGTCCTCTCCTGTGTTGTAATCAATATCCAGTAGCACTTTGCAGACACGAACCAACTTTGCCGATTTTCCAATGTTCAGAGACCTTTCTAGTCTTTCCACGCCATTAAGGACAGGAGCAGCTGAGGATAAAGACTTCACGGTTTTCACATGAGCAGTATGCTGGTGCTGTGTGCACGATCCTTTAAGCGTTGGCACACTCCTTCTGAATCCATAAATGCAACTAGGCACTAGATCTTGCTTTTTACCAGAACAAGTATAAATGAGAAATCCAGTAAACAACAAAACACATTTTATGCAGTATTAAGGGGAGACGCGGGTCGAAAAACGTGAGTTGACTTTAAAATTACCAATTTTTTATTTTCGCCTGTTTTGATAAAATTAGCACCTCTACTGTTCTGAAAAAAAAAAAAAAAAAAAGCCGAGACTTAACGGGAAATGCTTTAAAATTGCGTCTAAAGAGCACAAGGTGCCTGTTAAAAGACCCAAAGTGTGCAGTCTTCAAGCAGCTTGCCACCGATAATGTGCCGCCCCTCGCCATTGTCGATCGCATGAGGTGAAGAATCGAGCCGCACTATTCAAATAACGACAGTTTCCCTCGCAGATGCGGCACAAAAATTATTAAGAAGAAGCACGCTTTTGCAAGTTTTTCGAGCACCACGACTGGCTTATCACGTGGTACAGATCAGGGACCGCCATTGGACGCTGTGCGCCTGTATGTGCTGTGAAGCCTACTTGCGGGGTCCATGTCTCGACGAGCAGCGCAGCTGATCAATACTTTTCTTATGTATTTACTTATGTATTTACTTTTCTTATGTAGTTATGAAAAAGCCATTGCTCGTGCGTGACAGCCGTTCTGGCGGCGCGCTCTGTAGGAGTAGGCTACAAGCAGCTGGTCCAATTTGCGGCAGTTGTTGGCTTGCAAAAGCCAATGCATCAAAAGTCATTCACAGCCATCAGCCGGAAAGTTCGTGATGCGGCAATGGATGGCGTCAGCGCCAATCTTGCGAGGTCGAAGGAACTTCGCGGGGACGACATTGTCATTATGTACGACGGTATGTGGCACAAACATGGCCGCAAAATGGCATTGGCAATGTAGTGTTCCTCGACACTGGACTTAGTTTAGATTTCGCAGTCCTGTCCAACTTCTTCCTAGCTTGCAGTCGGCGCAAGGCTCTGCCAGATGGAGCGGAAAAAGTTTGGCAAGTGTTTCATGGCCCTGTCTGAGAGCGAAATGTCTGTGAGGAGTCGGCTTGAAAAAGCCGAGAAGGACAAACTCATGGTGCTGGCGTATTTTAGCGGCAGTGGCCATTACAAGAAGGATTGTTCTTTTTGGTGTGCTAATTTCATTGCATTTAATGACATCTTTCGTAAATAAAAACTAAATATTAACTTTAAAACTTTTTTCTCAGAACACAAATTTGGCCATTTTTATCGATGTGCCCCTCCTTTTTCGGGCACTTTTAATGCTCAGATCTGTATGAAATTGTGCGCAAAATTTTTCCAAAGTATGACAAATACAATTATCTAGTTTAAATTTCAATATTTTATTATATAATGAAAAAATTGTATGTAAACTTTTCCTAGGGTACGTGGAATATGCACTTTCTAACGTATATTATTTTTCACGCCTATTACATATGTAGTATGTGCTTCCTAATTAGTTATTCACATTCTACACTTTATTTGAAACATTATGAACTATGATTGGTAAAAAATTACGAAATTTAGGGATGAAAAAAGGGGGGGCAAAAGGGTTAAGGTTATCACTTCATCATGTCGCAGAGCTAAAAGTAAAAACTTGCAAGAAAACTAATTATATATTTGAAATCAGCATACTAAGTTTCATAAACAGCTTAAGTTTCATTGCTCTAGGGTGAACATTAAAAAAAAATGTGTCTTCGAGTAGCATCTCCCCTTAAATGCTAATGTCACCATCTAATCATAAGGCACACTACTGCAGGGACTCGGGGATGGCTGTGTATATCTATGTACCAGTGTGGAACACGTATACTTCAATAGGAATAACACTGTATTTATGTTGTGCAAAAAGGGTCACAATTTATTAAGTCCTTCGGATGTTACGCTTAGATCTTGTTGAACGCAGCAATGTCCACACTTTGTACCTGCAACAAACAAGGAGACGATGAGCTAGGAAGTCATGTACAAATCAACAGTGTTTGCACTGCCAAATTGTGTTCTCTAACAGCAATACATAACATAGATCTTCACATCCCTTCTGTACCCAGTGATAGCTACAAGTCAGGAGAACAGCCTTCAAGAGCCCCTTACCAGGTGACACAACAAACTTTAGTTCAACACTGGAAGTTGTTGCGCACCCAATAGAGAGCGTTATGCCATGAGAATTGTTCCAATTGGTCCATTAAAAGCTGAGAAAAACCAATGCTTTGAAGTGGCGTGGAACTATGGTGCGAGGAGACGAGATTGCAACCCTTGCCGCTAGCTCTACGTAGCCTTTGCAAGCCAAATTCCTTCTCTGCCCTCTTCGGCACGCGAGCGGAAGTATCACGTGAGGCATATGCATGAACATGTCATGTGCACACAAGCTCACAAGTGCCAGCCGGGGCCCCTGAGACGCGAGCAATGTTGCACTGGCATTCTCCATACTTCAACTCTGCAAGTTATTCTGAATGCACCCTCACTGATCACCTGGCTTTCAACCTATTACTGAGCACGAAAGCCGTGACATTTTCCGAATGTGCTGTCTCCAATCACTTGCCATTCAACCTATTACTAAGCATGAAATTTGTGACATTTGTACAGACGTGAACTAGCAGTATCATCAGCTATTGCCACATGAACGTTCAGTTAGATAAGGGAAGATAAATGAGCATAATGAGCACCAGAACACGACAGAAAGTTTGTTTCATTGTAAGGAGTGGTACCTGCCTGATTGTGCAAAGCTTAGGAATACAAACGCACGTACTACGAAGAGAAATTAGTCTCGCATCTTTCTGCAATTTGCAGTAAAATTAAAAAACAAAAGCATGCAAACATTCATCTGAACGCTTTATTATTGCTCTCAAGATCTATTCATCTATTTAAGCAACGAATTCTGTGGGTGACGTCAGAGCACAGGCGTCTTGTAGAGGAGAGCCATTAAAGCATTACCAACTACATACAGCCATTCCTTCTCGTATGACATCCTTTTATTCTCTGGGCATGTGCCCGCAAGAAGAAGGGCAAGCAGTGTTCAGCTTGAAATTTCACTCGTTTTTCTGCGGCACGTAGCCTTACAAATTTTAGCAGACAAGATCACGAACACCCAGTTTATGCGTTGCACTCGTCAACTCAGAATGGTTAAACCTAGAGAGGGGCCCTTTAAAGACCACGCTTTCAAACGTTA